AAAGATTTACACCCTCGGAAACCCTGTACAGGGTCGCTATGGGTCGGAACCGACTCGATGGCACTTAACAACAACAACAACAACTAGAAAATTTTAAATAGCACGAGTGTTGTTGTTAAGGGCTGTCGAGTCAGTTCCGACCTATAGCTACCCTTGAACCGCCGACCTTGAGCTTCAAACCGACCTTGCGGTTCAGCACATTAACCTGCAGTGCCACACCAGAACTCCAAAATGACACAGTAGCTCATATTATGTAGCTATTGGACAATGTTGCTATACCATGAAAATGGAGTTGAGAATAAGATTCGCATCTTTCATTGTAGAGCATCTGCACATAGATTCCCGGAGGATTAGGTAAGGTGGGTCGGCCTTATCCCTTTTGTACTGATGAGGAAACCATGGCCTTAATGGATAAAGAGGCTTGTTGGGAGTCACATAGCTAGTTATTTGCAGAACTGAGACTATAATTCAGCTTTCAGGAATTCGCATCAATTCTGGACTTTTCCCTATACCATACTGCCCCCTACAGTCCAGTTTGTTCTTTTCATGGTGTTGATATTAGAAGCAGTGTTTTCATCTTTAAAATGTCTAAGGAAAGGTTTTATGATCTCTGGTGTTACTGCATTCACTGACTCACACTTCCTCCCTAGCTCCCTTCCCTTCCATGTTCTATTTCAAAGGATTTCTCTTTCTGCAACTTTAACCCGTTCCCTATCGTCCTGTCAAAGAGAGAAAAACTGACTGACAATACACGGTGACAAATTGCAAAACCGTTTCAAGCGCAGCATACCAGCGTTTTACAGTGTGGGCTGAAAAACAGAAACCACACTGATTGTAAATACATCAAAGCTGAAAAATACCTCCCTTTTTAGAAGAACAGAGTATTTTGATAGGGTGGGAATCAACAGTCCAGTGTTCTCAGCCCACTTTGTCATAGATTCAATGTATTGGCCACAGCCAAATCATGTGACTCTCTCTATGCTTAAAGGGCACATTCATAGGCACCTTCTGTCCACTCTGACAACGCAGTTGTGAGAAGAAATCTGGTAACACATATGAAGTATTTGGGGTTTTCCAGAGAAAGCACTCTTTTCCCATCCAAACTCCGAAGTACCTCAAATATAATACCATCTTTCTTCTCACACTATTTCTGCCAGAGGGCACATAAGGGGCCCAAATTGTGGAAGGAGCTGCCACCCAGTAACCAACCTGACAGAATTGCTTCACCTCCTGTGACCAAACATCTGTTTTTCTTAATCAGTCCCAATTTCGCTGATTTTGTACCATTGTCCCCATCGGCACCCTCTTATTTATAGGCCACCGGTTCTGACATGAAGATTGTAAGACATTTTCTTTGTGCCTCTCGGCACAAGGGACCAGCAAAAGAGTAAGGCAAAATGGGAGAGATGTGGGGAGGTAGAAACGAAGAAACTGGCAAATCCTGAAGTAACTGAGGTAGCTGCTGGATAGATGGGGTTCTCCTTCAATTGCACCTCCCCAGAACCAGAAAACTCCAGGAGCCCAGGGCCCAGAAGAGAGCAGGCCTGAGAACAGTTAAGCTAGCATGCAACTTTACTGGCCGTAGATGAGAAGTGATGCCCATGACAAGGGCTGATGTGACAGAGCCAGGTCTGGGGGATATCTTGGTAGAACAGCTTGTGCAGCACGTCCCTGGACGGGGCCTCTCTATACTGAGTAGCAAACTGGACCTACAGCACAGTGTCTTGCCAAGTTAATTATGTGTTATTGTTTGGGTTTTGTTATGTTTTTATTTTATTTATTTATTTATTTTGGCTTCAACACTACTAATACCCACCCACACACAACTTTCTTTTCCTTTTTAGAAAATGTATTCATTTATTTCTGTTCACACTGTAGCACAGGTTCTCAGATGCTCTCGCTAAGAAAGCAAGAGTCTAGACATGATTTCTGCTTTCTGGAGAAGGATTGCAAGGCCCCCTTGTATTTACAACAGCATAGCCGGGTGAAGGGCATGGGACACTTTCCAGACATGCATTCCCTCACCATTTGAAACAGTTTGGTTCTCTGGCTCGTTCTTCTGTTCAGTTCAACAATATTTTTACTGGACCAATTTGTAGCGTAGTGGTTACGAATCGGGCTGCGAACCTTAAGGTCAGCGGTTCGAAACTACCAGCCGCTCCGCGGGAGCAAGATGAGGCTTTCTACTCCCGTAAAGATTTACACCCTCGGAAACCCTGTACAGGGTCGCTATGGGTCGGACCCGACTCGATGGCACTCAACAACAACAACAATTTGTATTCAGCCTGCAGGGAGACAGAAGGGATTGGGATCTAGACCTCCTGTTTGCAAACCTCCATATGCAACTCTTTTTAGTGTTTCAAGGGTTTGGGGAAAGGAAAGGTAATATGGGACAGGTCAGGGAAGGCCATTTAAAGTGTTTGATTTCAGAAGCCAAGGGACGGTCTACCAGATGGTATAGCATGCCTTGGTTTCCCATTTAAGATCGAGAAATTAAAATTTCAAGTCACTTTACTTTTAGGTGAACTGATGGGCCTCTTAAATAGAAGTCTTCTTTAGCATGAGGTATGACCTATTTGATACTCAATAACTGTCTTTGTTGTTGTTGTTGTTAAGTGCCACCGAGTCAGTTCCAACTCATAGTGACCCTGTATAGGGTTTCTGAGGAGTGGCTATGGGTTTGAACTGCTGACCTTGTGGTTAGCAGTCCAGTGATTATCACCAGGACTATAGATATATAAAAGGGAAAAGGCACTTAGGAACCACTGCCTGCTTTGAATGACACCCTTCTCTCTCTCTCACACACACACACGCACACACACTTTCTCTCTCTCACACACACACAGAGGCACACTCCTCCCACCAATAAATAGACAACAGCAACCAAAAAAAAAAAAAAAAAAAAAAAGACCCAACATTAATAACCTTGAACCTAGAAAAACTGGGGACCTTTCAGTACTCATGAAAACAGACAGTATGGAAGAGGAAGCTAAAGCTACAAATGGAATTTGTAGGTGAGTCAGGTCACATCAAAAGGATACAGGAGACATGCCATGGCCACATTTAGCATCTTCCACAAGCTTTCATTTGAGAAAGCTTCACTGATCCCCTTTGACTCTCACAGGAATTCTAAATGTCATCTGCTGAAATACCTGCAAGTATGATTTCAAACAAAACCAATAAAATGACCTCAGTTAAGACTTCATCCATTTTGGTAATGGACTTTTCTATATTATGTATTGTTGTTAAGTGCCGTCGAGTTGGTTCTGACTCATAGTGACCCTTTATAGCATTTCCAGGGAGCAGCTGGTGAATTTGAACTGCTGACCTTGCAGTTCAAACCAACCTTGCAATCCTGTGCTTATCCTACAGCACCACACCAGCACTCCATATTGTGTATTCTTGTTGTTGTCAAGTGCCATCTACTCAGTTACGACTCATTGTGACCCTGTATAGGGTTTCTGAGGAGCAGCTGGTGAGTTTGAACTGCCGACCTTGCAGTTCAAACTGACCTAAAGGTCAAGTGCTTATCTTACGGTGCCATGAGTAAGAAAACTCTCTTACTTTGCTTCTTGGATTTCCTGCTTGCCCCTAGAGAATCTCTAAGTTAGAGCCATGGCTGGACTCATTCCCTTCTTGTAAGGCTGGTATGAGGGATTAGAGATGATCTCTAATACAAGAGCCCTACCATCCCAGGAAAGGAGCTGCAGGACTCCAGGCCAGGCCTACATAGAAATACTCCTGCCCAGGGCAGAGGATTTCGTAGTCATCTTGTTTCCAAAATACAAAAAAAGATCTTCCCTCCAGTGTTAACTCTCAAGAATTTACACCATCCTCCATTGTTGCTCAAAAAACCAAGCTCCTAGATTGTGCAAGGCAATTTCTTCATGTGGGAGGGAAGGGCCCTGGGATGGAAATCAGAAGACTTGGCACTCTCACTGATTCTCTGACCTATAACCACTTGCCATGGGGTGCATTTTGACTCATGGCAACCCATGTGCGCCAGAACAGAACTGTGGAACTGTGCTCCATAAGGTATTCAGTGGCTTGATTTGGGGGAAATAGGTCACCTGGCCTTTTTTCTGAGGTATGCCTGGGTAGCTTTGAACCTCCACTCTTGTGATTAGCAGCCAAGCAAGCACATTAACCATTTGCATCACCATTAGTTTCCCCATCTCTAAAATCAAGCAGGTTAACTATGTAGTAATTCCTATGCAGTTGGCGCATGATGATTTGATATGATGATAACATGTGTTAGTGTTTGGGGAGAAAGACATCTCTTCTTGGACCAAAGGGTAGCCTGAGTGAATGGTCTGAAGTAATTTCAGGCCTTAGGTGCTTTTCACAAGAACCGCAACAGGGTGAGCCTCCCCAGTTGGATCCATGGAGACTTGAAATTACCTCCTTGTTTTGGATGAAGCCAGGAGACCTATGAGGAAATGAATATTATAACATATGATTTCTTTTTTCTTTTAGGGATTTGGAACTACCAGTGAAAAGGGAGAAAAGGGACTCCCTGGTTTGCCAGGCTCTAGGGTATGAACCTAGAATGTTTCTTGCCTAATTCTGTCAAATAACCTGGTCCATTTTCTTCCCTGTTTGCTTCTTTCTGTTATGTAACTTGATGGCAGGCTAAGCTTTTCTTATTTCTTAACCCTCTGGCAGGTCCCCCAAACCTCCTCCTTACCAGACCACTTAGCTCCATTCCGTTGGCTAACTGGCTCCTTCGAATAGTTATTATATTGTTGTTGTTGTTGTTAAGCTCCATCCAGTCAGTTCCAATTCACAGTGACCCTGTATAGGGTTTCTGAGGAACAGCTGGTAGCTTTGAACCACAGACATTTTGGTCCACAGCCAATTTACTCCCCTTGGCCTTTTCTGGGCTTCAGAATGGCATTGGTGTTGCCTTCCTTTGATTCTGTTCTACTCAAGGGAATGCATGAGGGGGCAGTGGAAACTGCTGCAGGAATGGAAGAAAGAAGGCTAAGTGGAGTCTTTATAGGACAGTTAGACCACAGTAAGTTATGTTTGGGCTTAACGGTTTTCAGTAATCTCATTTCAATGAAGAAATATCTATTCACCTCTTTGATTCCTAGATTCAGGTACTTGGGTCTTGGGCTATAAGCAGTCATTCAATCTTAGCCTTAAAGAAGTAACAGTTTAGAGAATTATGTTTTTAGCGTGGCCATGAAGTTTATTAAGGGTCCTTTGAGTATTTAGCTATATGTAAGCCCATTAACCTGCCATTTATTTCTCTAGTTTTCCCTATTCCCTTGTCTTGAAAATGCATAATCACCAACAAAGAATGCTTTTGGGGTGAGAGGAAAGGGACCTCTCCCTATAATCTATTTTTAAATCTCATGATTTAGAACTAATGCAAACTAAGTAGTAATACTACTAGCCCTTCCACTAAATTCCACCTGGTACTTAAAATGTTTCCATGTAGTTCACTTTTCAAACTGTTCCATGTGGCAATTTAGACTGATGGATTAGTGCTTAGAAAGAAGGCATTAGGCCAGATCTGAGCATTCTCTTACCCGATTAAAAACCAAACAAGGAAACACACAAACACACTGCCAGTCTTGTTGATTCTGACTCATAGTTGCCTGATATTGTTGTTAAGTACCATCTAGGTGGATCCAAATTATATCAACCCTGTGTAGGGTTTCCAAGAAGCAGCTTGTGGGTTTGAACTACTGACCTTGTGGTTGGAAGCCCAGTGCTTATCCTACAGCACCACACCAGGATTGCTTGTTGTTGTTGAGTGCCGTTGAGTCGATTCCGACCCACAGCGACCCTGTATAGTGTTTCCAAGGAGCAGCTGGTGAGTTTGAACCGCCAACCTTGCAGTTCAAACAGCTTTGCAGTCTGTCGCATTAACCCACAGCGCCACACCACGACTCCAGGACTAAGAGCTGCTAAATATTCAGTTCAGTTGGATAGTTTTGTTACATAAATCTAGTGGCTTTTTATTGCGTGGGCTATTAATCTTCTAAGGTATGTATGTTCTCTTTACAGGGTCCCATGGGTTTGGAAGGAGTCCAAGGCCATCCAGGGAGCCAGGTATTTTGGTTTTTGGTTAAGAACATTAAGGCTTGGTGTACAAATCCCTAATCAAGAGATCCTCTTGCTTAACTTAATATGGCCATAAATCCAAAGGGAAACACTGCTTATGATGCAAATTGCCCACCTACTATTGATGGATGATGTAATCTTAGCCACTCTCTTCTTACATTTTCACCCAAGAAAGCAGGTGTGATTGTTAAGTGCTATAGAGTCAGTTCCAACTCATAGTGACTTCTATAGAGTTTTCTAGGAGCAGCTGGTGGGTCTGAACTACTGACCTGTGGTTAGCAGTCCTATACTTATCCTGCAGCACCACACCAGAACTCCAAGAAAATGGGTTGTTGTTGTTAAGTGCTGTGGAGTCCGTTTGACTCATAGCGACCCTGTATAGGGTTTCCAAGGAATGGCTGGTAGGTTTGAACCATCGACCTTGTGGATAGCAGTACTTATCCTACAGTACCACACCAGGTGGCCAGTGTCAAACTTGGTACCACGGCATGCCATGATGTGGTCAAGCTACCCTGATATTGTAGCAGGCCCTAGCTGGGCCACCCTGCTTGTATCCATCTCTGGGCTTGTGGGATTTGTGGTGCTGCAGCATAATGCAAGGTCAGTTTGAGCCACAAAGTTGGCAGTTCAAACACACCGTCCACTCCTTGGAAACCCTATACAGGGTGGCGTGGCTATGAGTCAGAACTGACTCCACAGCACTTAACAACAATATTATGTAACAACAACCATATGCAAGTGCTGTGTTGCCTTCAGTATGAACACTGGACTGCTAACCACAATGTTGGCAGTTCAAACCAACCAGATGCTTTTAGAAATCCTATTCAGGGTCACTATGAGTTAGTACAGACTCTAGGACAGACAACAACAAGAATCCAGGAGAAACCCTGGCTTAGCCCAAAGAACAACCCCTTCCTGTGATTTTAGACATTCAACTTAGTGGTCATTATGTTTCTGTTGCAGGGCAAGAAGGGGGCCTCTGGTTTCCCCGGGATTAATGGATTACCAGGAATTAAGGTAATGTTGCTGGGAAGTGAAAATCCAGGGTTGAGGAGGGAAAAGGATCAAGAATTATCATGTGTTGTTTACATATGAGATGAAGTATTTTTAGTATTTGGAGGTTTTTGGTGGCACTCTTTTCTCAAGAAATGCCTGTGCAAGCTACTTTGAACATACAAAACTTAACCAAGGGATGGGGGCTGGTAGGAGCAAGTCCATCGTTTTGATAAGCGATGTTTTATTACTGATAGTGTTTACAGTTGCCGACTTTGAGATTTTATGATTGTTTTTAAATTCTCTGTAGTGTCTGGGATCGACAGTGCCTATACCACCCCACACTTGATAGGTCACTCTATCGGATCCTGATACCTAAGCTTTTCTTTCGGGAGAATTAATACTCCTTTACTTCCTTTGCTTGACATCATCCACTGTCATACAGTGATGGTAGCAGAGTTCTAGGGCACTGAGAGGAAAAGACAGTTGAAACTGTGTTAGCACCTCTTCGGTGGATCTGTACTGTCTTTGCCTGTGGTATGTTTCCCAGGTCCAGAAGGAAATTGTCTTAGAGTAGAGTTGCAATGTAAAATTGGTATCCCTTGTCCGTGACAGAGTTCCAGGTCTCTAGTCTGCCTTATCTTGCCTTCATATTACATTTATTCAACTTGGAGATGAACTCATGGGCTAAGTTACGCTGGAAATCAGGACTCACAAAAGAAGGCACTCTTTCATTTTCCTAGGGACTGACTTTGAGAGCACATAGATCTTGACTAACGAAGTCATGGAAATATTTGTGTTTATTGTATTTAATCATTGCAGGGTGACAAAGGTGGCATTGGCCCACCAGGCCAAGATATTTATATGGATAGAGATGGTGCTGTAATCTCAGGTACAACTTTTCATTTATTTGAATGTAGAAGAAAAAGGTGGGGAATTAAATTTTATACCAGCTCTAATTGCTGAGAGAATTCTTTGTCAATCACTAGATTGCTGCTAATCCCAATCTTCCAAGGACCCACATGTTAAGTCTTCAATGGAAGATTCAAAGCTCCTGAGTTTGGAGAGTGAAGCTAAATCTGTCTCTTGGAAAACGAGACCAATCCCAGCATCCTATTTTTTGTGTTGAGTCTACCAAGATTAGGATGTGGGTCTTCCTTGGTGTAGCTATGACTAAAATTGTTCCCCTGGTGATGCTTCGGGAAGCACTGATATCCTTCACAGATGGCTGACTTCAGTGTGATGCTGTGGGATGCTCAAGGTCTCATGTAGATAATGTTATGAGGGCTTGAACTTGATAATTTCAAGGGAAATAGAAAAACGTATCTTTGGCTAGGGGACAAGTGGTTGACACCTCATCGACACTATCACTCTTAGAACGTTTCTGTTCACAGTTCCTTGTCCTAGTTGTATGCACAACTCTTCACTTTGCCTTCCTTAAATATCCAAATACTCACTGCCTCCAGCTACTTCTTGCTTGACCAAAGGCTTCTACAATAATGCCTTTTCCACTTGGATCCCAGTAACTTATGCCTCTCCTCACATCCTCTCAGGCCTGTGCCCTATCTTGTAAATTCATTCAAACCAAGTTCTTAATGTTTGGCAGAGGTTTCCTATGTTCCATTCCCAGGAAGCCTATGGGTATGACATAAGTAGTGGACCTCCACACCTTAACCCAAATGGTGGGCATTTGAGGCATTACAGCAGATTAGCAGTAATAGAAGAATTCTCCCAGGATTTATCAGATCTTGCTATGGAAGTCAGACCCTGGCCAGACCAGTTATGAACACTAGTGGAGCCTTGGTTCTGGTAGGCCCATGGTCATGTGGAAGCCATTAGTGTCTATGAGACCTGGAAAGGGCGAAAAAGACAATGTAACTCCTAGAAAAGCCCCTGCATTTTTTCCTAGGCACTTTGTGCCATTTGTAGACCTCTGGGTTTGCTTACCGCTTTTCTTTTCTTTCTTCTTCTTCTTTTTTTTTTTTTTTTGTCATTGTAATGCTAGGTCATCCTGGAGACCCAGGTGTACCAGGTCACCCAGGCCATAAAGGTGATGAAGGCTTGCAAGGCCTGCCTGGCCCTTCCGGTACCACTGGCCTCCCACCAATCTTACCAGGTGAAATGAACTAACCCATTCCCTGAAAATATTCTTCTATCCACTTTAGTGTTCAGAATCCCCTTCTATACCTCTGGGTCTGGACACACACCTAGGCAAAGTCAAAGCAAGGGTAGGTAGCCCGTGGACAATAGATTCCCTACTGTATGTACGTGAGCCTGAGGCCTGGGTAAGTAGCTTTCCTTTGGATTGAATAATATACCATAATGGACAGGCAATCCCAGACTGCCATGGAGGTTTGTAGCAATCAGGCGAGACCTGGATTGGGTTGCTGGCGTCATGGCTCCCTTTTGTGGATGTACCATCTCAGCTGATGCTAAAAAAGCCCAGGAGGAAGTTTGTACTCAGACTCTCTCTGTTTAACTCAGGAACTAAATGGCCCCAGAATCCTATGGGTGACACTTGAAATGCCATTCTACAGTAGCAAGTGGAGAAAGATCTAAACAAAAGCAGTGGTATCCCAGATATCAAGTCTCAGGTATTATTTTGAAAGGCACCAGTATCTAAACTCCTTGGAGACAGACCTCTCTGAGGATACCAGTGCTCTTAAAGTAACCACTATAGGAGGAATAACTAACCCCAGCCCCAAGGTGGACACAAGGAGGCTGGAAACACAGGTTTTCCAATCAAGTTTGCCACTAAACAACTCTGTGTTCCCTCATTTCGTTGGGTCTCAGTTTCCCATGTGGTTAGTCTAGATGATCCCTACTCTCTAATGCCAAAGAACACATACTTTCCCAAATCTCCTCAGGAAAATAGTTTTCAACATACGAAGGACTTCAAAACGTTTGTGGGAAAATCCCATTATCTTTTTTTTTTTTTTTTTTTTTCTTTTTCTAAAGAAAAAGAGCGGGGTTATTTTATTCAAAAACTTAGTTCATACAAACTCAACTAGATATACAAATCTATATTAACTCTGGTAAAGAAGAAAGCGCATACACAAATATACGATGTTAGGAAACTTCATCACGTTGAAAGAAAAGATTAGAAATTTTAAGAAAATACTATGTACAATTTGATCCTAATATATTAAGTCCTCTGGATAAATGATACAATTTTATGGAGAAATCAAACATAATCAAAATTAACTCAAAAGAGGTAGAAAATCTGAGTAGATAAAAACTATGAAAATAATAAGAATACATTTAAAAATTATCACAGAACTACTTACAATAGGCATGCTAAGCCTAGGTGAATTTCCTTTTTAAAAACTTTCTAACAAGCTTACATGAAACCCATAATGCTTTCTTTGCTTTTAAAAGTGCCCCAAGCACAGCAAAGAGGGCAGAATTTCCAGTTAATTTTACAAGTTTAACATGAACCTGATGCCAAAGCTTAGAGTGGCAGAAAACTATATATGAAAACTACAGAAAAACAATGTTTAACACATAAATAAACCATTGGCAAAGACATTCAGCAATCTATTAAAAGGGCAAGAAACTTTAAATAAGTAGGGTTAATTTCAGGAAAGTAAAGATGATTCAGTCATTTAAATATTTTTGTTAAATTTATCAAATAGGTTAAATGAGAAAATCTCAATAAATACATATGTTAAAGTCCAACATTTATTTCTCCGACAAAATGATAAAGGCTCTTTCTGAAACCCAGAAGGAACCATTATCTTTTAATTCCATTTTCCCATGAACTTTTTGAAGCCTCCTCATATGCCACTGATTTGGAACACTTCTAAAGAGTAGGGTGCTATGATGAGTAATTTTGTGGGAGTTTATTCATCTAGGTGTCTCAGGCCTTCTGGGGTCTCAGGGTATCCGAGGCCTGAAGGGGAACCAAGGAAACCCAGGCCGTACCACAGTTGGAACAACCGGCCCCAAAGGCAAAGTTGGTTTGCCAGGCCTGCCAGGCCTACCAGGCCTACCGGGACCTCCTGGTAAGTTAGTTTCTTTCTTTCTTTTATTGAGACCCAGGTATGATCCAGATTGTAGCATAGTTATGTTTCTGAGGGAAAATGCCACAGGTGAGAAAACTAATCTAGGTCAGGCTGCAGAGGGGCCTCCTCCTCTCTCAATCAGAGTCCTGCCTCTAGACAGCTGCCAGTTTTCTTATTCATTAAAGAACCAACAGACTAGATCCATCTCAGTGACTCAACACAAACCAATACTTCTGACTTGTGTTCATCTTCCCATTCCTTTCTTCACTGTTCTCAGTCTCTAAGCCTGCTGGTCTGTTAGCTCTTGAAGAAGCAGCATTAGTGCTTTCAAGCTTCAGCTGGTCGACATGGCTCCTGTAGGATGGGCTGAGAAAGGAGAAGCCAAGCCTAGAGCCATAAGGCAGAAAGTGGCAGTTAAGAGTCCACACAGGGCTTATTCTCCTTAGATCTTCTGCCTGAGTATGGAACTCTAGAGTGTGAAAGAACATCTGGCCACCATTGACTTTGAAACTATTTCCCAGCTTGTTTCTTTCTAACCTAAACCCCATGGCCACTGCAGTTTGCCCCTGTTTCCTCTTTTGTTCGTTCCCGTATCCCCATTGTCTAGTACAGTGCCTGGAACATAGTACACAGTGTGTATGTATTAGTAGAAAGGAGCTCTGGTAGCGTAGTGGTTACGAATCGGGTTGCGAACCGCAAGGTCAGCAGTTCAAAACTACCAGCTGTTCCGCGGGAGAAAGATGAGGCTTTCTGCTCCTGTAAAGATTTACAGCCTCGGCAACCCTGTATAGGGTTGCCATGAGTCGGAACCGACTCCACGGCACATAAGCAACCACCATGTATTAGTAGAAGGAATCAAGCCAACAGGGCTGATTCTTGAGGTCTTCTTTGTTTGTATATGTGTTTGTGTCTCTGCTCCAGGACCCCAGGCTTGGTGATGGTACTGCTGTGTGCCTCATCAGGCTCATGTAAGGTACCAATCTTTTTGGTTTCATTTCCCTGCAGGTCCAGCATTTGAAACTGGACCCCTAAAGAATGCAGAACCAGGCTTCCCTGGTCTCCGAGGAGAAAGAGGTCTGAAAGGAAACCCAGGCCTCAAAGGAATAAAAGGTGATTTTGTCCCTTTGGGTTTCTTTGTCCCCCAAACTCCTCAGAGAAGATTTTATGAGCCAACCAAAAGCTTTGGGACCCTGACCAGAAGCAATCTGGGATCTTGATGGGAGATGATTTGATTTAGGATTGTTGCAAAGACTGTATTCAGGACTCTAAGAGTGAGGCTGGCAATTGAAGCCTCATAGGAAAGGTGGTTTGCAGGCTGTTCTTAGCAACTCCACCTGCAGGAGGCAGTGCTGGCAGCCCAGGTGTTAGGCAGAACCTGAGAAAGAGAAGCTCCAACACCTCACAATTGTCAATGTGCCAAGGGCGGAAGTCACTAATCATCACCTTTGGCCTGAAGAAACAGGCTCTGAACAGGTCAAGACTGGTACTCCAAAACAGCCAACTGGCTGCAAGAAAACAATTCCAATCCCCACTGACATGGAAGGACTGAGTAATTACTCAAGCTCTTGCTGCATTGCTTCTCTCCATCTTTTTCCTGCCTTTGGGTCATATCCCCATTCCTTACTTTGAGGAAAAGATGCTAAAACTCAGATAAGTCAATACATTACGCTTGCAGCCCAGGCCAAGGTGGAGAAAGAGGGAGAACTACTGGCTGAATAGAGGTTTAGAGACAGGCTTAGGGATTTTAGGTATTTGAGAACTCTCCTCTTCCCTCAAGAAATTAACAGAGAAGTCCAACCTTACTCTACTCCTTTCTTATTACCCTGTCGTAAAATATCACAACTGTAGCACAGGCTGGTTTAGAAGTTTCTGAAAACTCAGTCTGGGCAGTTCAGATCCAAGGATGATGATTTGAAGTGAAAGAGCATTAAATTGCAATTCTGGACTTCAGTCTGATTATCTTGACCCACCTCTGACTCACTACAAGAGCTGGTGTTTTCTCAATACCACTCTTACTCCTAAAACTCCAATACTCCCTTTCTACCTTTCTACATTGCTGTTGTTCTTAGGTGCCGTCAACTCAGTTCCAATCCATAGCATTTAGGGTTTCCAGGGAGCAGCTGGTGAGCTTGAACCACCGACCTTGTGGTTCATACCCACTTTGCAGTCCGGCACATTAGTCCACATCTCCACACCTGGACTCCGGGAAAGGAAAATTACTTACAATCCCATCCACCACTCTGGCTGCTGCCGCAGAGTCAGAGCAGATTGATCAGGCCTGGGATGGGGCCCAGACATCTGCCTTGTAAAAAAGGCATCACAGAGTTCAGGTTTTGGCGGTGGCAGAGACAGCTTAGGTAGGAAAGGCTCCGTGGAGGAGGGATTGAAAACCCAGAGAAGCTGCGCTCACGGAACAACACCAGAGCTCTGGATCTTCCATAAGGTCCAGGGCGTCAATTTCCCACACGTGCAAGTGGAAGAATCATGATATAAAGGAAAATACTGTGAGTTAGGAATCACTCAAGACAGGACTCCCTCTTCAGCCATGCTGCCCCGGCGGAGTTCAGATGGCGGGGCTACAACCAGACTAGCACTGGGAACCAGCACTAAAAACATTGCAGTGACATTTGCAAAAGGAGGTACAGGGGATTCTACACATTTTTTCCTCCTCTTCCCTGTCGTGCCTTCATTGCTCAGTCCATATGCCTTCAGGTGAGTGGGTGTGCACCCCCCCCCCAAAAAAAATCCAGTGCTGAGCCCACAGTTTTCCCACGACACAGAGAGAAAGAGCTTGGCAGCTGCTTATGACATCAGCCTGGGGGTTGCAGCCCTAAGATTAACTTGTGCTGGACGCTATACTCTAGCCTGTCTAGCAAGAAAAAAGCCGGCCTGTCACACCTGACAGACAAACCATAGGAACAAACTGTAAAACTCCAACATAAAAGGACACAACTATCTCAAGAATTAAGCTGTGCACACGCAGATACCTAACTGACCTTTAGAGACAAAAATAGTAGACAATCTTTCTACCATTAACTTCTCAATATCTATCTGCACACCTTTTTAGTGGTGACTAGAGGAGGGGCCTGAACAAGTGGACACCCCCAGCCACTGCTGGAAGCTTCTACGGTGCACACACACTGTCTGTGTAGCAAGGTGACTGGACAGTCGGCCACAGTTTTATTTTTCTTTCAAAATGGTGGTTTTTGTTTCTGCTTTTATATTGCTTCTGTTTTTGGTCCTTTTGATCATACTTTTCCTGGAGGTGGGAGCTTTTACTCCCTACATTACCCAAGAAGAGACAGAAATCATGGCCATATAGCCAAGCTACAAGCATACCCCATAATATTCCACCATAGAGACAAGAGCCAATAATAGCTGCTAGGCTTCTCTTTTCACATGTAATGCTTATCTCCTGATCATATCCACCAGGAGACACCCAATAAGCTTAATAACAAAACAACAAAGATCCATTTCCGCATTCAAAAATCCACATAACTACTGGAAATGACAAACAAAACACAACAAAAGACCTCAAAACATGTCCAAAACCAGAATAGAGTAACTGAGAAAAATGAGCTGGAGACAGACAAACGCTCCCCAGAAGAGGAAGAGCAGGTTTTGGATTTGCCTGAGAATGAATTCAGAAGAATGATATGGAAACAAATTCAAATGCTCCAAAAAGGGGTGGAGGAAAACAAGGAAGTCAGGAAAGTACTACAAGAGCAGTCAAACAAGATCGATACAGCATTGGAAACTAATTCAAAAGCTGCAAAAAGAGGTCCAGATGATTAATAATAAAATATCAGAAATGGACAATACACTGAAAGGGAGGGAAAAGGAGCAGAATAGAAGAGATCGAAGCCAGAACTAGTGAGCTGGGAGACAAATCTCTCAATACTGCTAAGATAGAAGAGCAAGCAGAAAAAAGGATTTAAAAAATCTGAAGAGAATCTAAGACTCATGCTGGATAACAAGAAGAAGAGCAGCTTAAGAATTATTGGCATTCCAGAACAGGAAGTATCAGAGAATTCCACAGAGGAAATAGTTGAAGAGCTTCTGGAAGAAAATTTCCCTAACATCTTGAAAGATGAGAAGATAAACATTCAAGAAACTGAACGTACCCCAGGAAGGATAGTATAAGAGATGAAGAAGGGCAGTATCTCATGATCAAAGTGTCAATTGAGCAAGATGACATAACCATAATAAATATCTATGCTCCCAATGAAAAAGTACCAAGATATATGAAGTAAACCTTACCAGAATTGAAGAAAGAAATAGATAAATCTATAATTATAGAGGGAGATTTTAATACACCGCTTTGGAAAAGTAACAGAACAACCAGAAAGAAACTTGATAAAGTTACAGAGGAACTAAACAGCACAGTCAACCAACTTGACCTCATAAATGTGTATAGAGCATTCAACTGATCAACAACACAATATACTTTCTTTTCCAGTGCACATGGAACATTCTCCAGAATTGACCATGTGTTAAGTCACAAAGCAAGCCTCAGTAAATTTACAAACATCAAAATACTACAAAGCATCTTTTCAGGACACAATGCTATAAAACTAGAAATCAACAACAAGAAGACTAAGGAAATAAAGTCAAATACATGGAAACTGAACAACACCCTGCTGAAAAGCGACAGGATAAAAGAAGAAATTAAATGTGAATTCATAAAGTTCATAGAAACAAACAAGAATGAAAACACAACATACCAAAATCTTTGGGACACGGCGAAAGCATTGCTGAGAGGACAATTTATTGTGCTAAATACACACATCCAAAAAGAAGAAAGAACCAAAATTAACACATTAACACAGCATCTCCAACAATTAGAAACTGACCAACAGAGGGAACCTACACTAACCAAAAGAAAAGAAATAATAAAGATAAAAACAGAAATAAATGAGATGGAAAACAGAAAAACTATAGAAAGAATCAGCAGGAAAAGAAGCTGGTTCTTTGAAAGGATTAATAAAATTGACAAACCATTGGTAAACCTAACAAAAGAAAAGAGGGAGAAAACACAAATAACTCACATTAGAAACCACACGGGCGATGTCACAATGGAACCAAATGAAATGAAAAGGATAATTACAGAATACTATAAGGAGCTCTGGTAGCATAGTGGTTACGAATCGGGCTGCGAACCTTAAGGTCAGCGGTTCGAAACTACCAGCCGCTCCGCAGGAGAAAGATGAGGCTTTCTACTCCCGTAAGGATTTACACCCTCGGAAACCCTGTACAGGGTCGCTCTGGGTCGGAACCGACTCGAAGGCACTTAATAAACAACAACAACATAAAGAGTTGTACTCCACAACAAATTCGAAAACTTAGAAGAGATGGATGCATTTTTAGAAAAACACAACCTACCAAAACATACAAAGAGTGAAGTAGAAAACTTGAACAGACCTATTAACAAAAGAAGAAATTGATCAAAAAACTCCCAACCAAAAGAAGTCCAGGCCCAGACAACTTCACTAGTGAGTTCTACCAAACATTCAGGGAAGACCTGTCACCAATTCTACTCAAATTGTTCCAGGATATAGAAGAGGACGGAAAACTTCCAAATTATTTTTATGAAGTAAGCATAAACCTCATACCAAAACCAGGGAAGGACATCACTAAGAAAGAAAATTACAGACCAATATCCCTCATGAACATAGATGCAAAAATTCTCAACAAAATCCTAGCCAACAGAATCCAGCACCATATCAAAAATAATAATAATATTAATAATACATCATGACCAAGTGGGATTCATAAAAGGGATGCAAGGATGGTTCAACATTAGAAAAACAATCAGTGTAATCCACCACATAAATAAGAAAAAGGAAAAGAACCACATGACAATATCAATTGATGCAGAAAAGGCATTTGACAAAATCCAACATCCATTCCTGATAAAAACACTCAAACAAGTAGGAATTGAAAGGAAATTCCTCAACATAATCAAGAGCATATATACAAAACCAAAAGCCTACATCACTCTCAATGGAGAGAAACTGAAAGCCTTCTCTCTGCAAACAGGAACCAGACAAGGATGCCCTTTGGCATTACTCCCTTTCAATATTGTTTTGGAAGTATTAGCCAGAGCTATACGGCAAGACAGGGAAATTAAAGGCATTCAAATTGGCAAAGAGGAAATAAAGCTCTCTATTTGCAGATGATATGATCCTATACATAGAAAACCCCAAAGACTCAGTAAAAAAGCTACTAGGCCTCATTGGAAGATTCAGCAAAGTGGCAGGGTATAAGATCAACATACAAAAATCAGTTGGATTCCTCTTTAGTAACAATGACAATGCTGTAAAGGACATTAGGAAAGCAATACCATTTACAATAGCCACCCAAAGGATGAAATATTTAGGAATAAATGTAACCAGAGAAAGAAAGGACCTATACAAAGAGAATTACAAAACACTACTACAGGAAACCAAAAGAGACTTACAAAAGTGGAAGAACATACCATGTTCCCAGATAGGAAGATTCAACATTGTGAGAATGTCAATACTACCCAAAGCAATTTACATATATAATGCAATTCCAATCCAGATTCCAGTGACATTCTTCAAAGAAATGGAAAAGACAATTAAAAACTTTATATGGAAAAGAAGGATAAGCAAAGCACTGCTTAAGAAGAACAAGGTTGGAAGCCTCTCACTTCCCAATTTCAAAATCTACTATACGGCTACAGTGATCAAAACAGCCTGGTACTGGTACAATGAAAGATACATTGATCAATGGAACAGAATCAAGAACCAAGAAATTAACCCATACACATACAGCCAATTGATTTTTGACAAAGTGCCTAGGTATGTTATATGGGGAGGAGTTAGTGCTTTAACAGATGGTGCTGGCAGAACTGGAAAGTGTTATACAAAAGATTGAAACAAGACCTTTACCTCTCGCCCTATACAAAAACTAACTCAGCATGAATTAAAGACCTAAATGTGAATCTCAAAATTATGAAAGTCATTAATGAAAAAATAGGGACAAATGTGAGGGCTCTAATACAGGGAATACACAGACTACCAAACATTTTGAAAAGTATACAAACAAAAGTAGACCAAAATAGATGATTGGGACATACTAAAAATTAAAAACTTATGTGCATCAAAAGACTTCACCAAAAGAGTAAAAAAGGAACCCGCAGAATGGGAAACAATGTTTTTCAATAACACATCAGACAAGGGACTCATTTCTAAAATATATAGGAAACTACAACACCTCTACAAGAAAAAGACAAATAACCCAATTAAAAAATGGGCACAGGACATGAACAGACACTTCACCAAGGAAGAGATCCGGACAGCCAACAAACATATGAAGAAATGTTCACGATCACTAGCAATTAGAGAGATGCAAATCAAAACAACAATGAGATACCATCTTATACCTTCAACAACAGCAAATATCTAAAAAGTAAAGGGCAATAAATGCTGGTGAGGTTGCAGAGAGACTGGGGCCCTCCTACATTGTTGGTGGGATTTCAAAATGATCCAACCTCTCTGGAAAGCAATATGGCGCTTCCTCAGAAGGTTGAAAATAGAAATACCTTATGATCCAGCAATTCCTCTACTTGGTATTTACCCACAAGAAATACGAGCCATAACACAAGAAGATATATGCACACCAATGTTCATAGCAGCACTATTTACAATAGCAAAAAGATGGAGACAGCCAAAGTACCCATCAACTGAAGAATGGATAAACAAACTGTGGTACATACACACAATGGAGTACTATGCTACCTTGAAGAACAACAAGGAAGTGCAAGCCACCGCATAACATGGATGAACCTTGAGTATACTATGCTGAGTGAAGTTAGTCAGTCACAAAAGGAAAAATACTGAATACGACCATTATTGTCAAAGATTAAGAAAAAGAATCCACACTAAAAGGGGGGAAAATTATATATTTGCTGATCACCAGAATGAATGGGATGAGAGGAGGAGTGGGAAGGAGGGAAAGATAGAGCACAGGGTAGGGAATAGACGCAGGATAGCTTGGGTGCTGGGGGGTGGTGGGCAATACACAAGAAGGGGGAGGGGAATGTAAGAACAAGGCTGATGGGAGAACAGTTAGGCAGGTTCGCATGGGCTAAGTGGGACAGAGGTAAATGCTGATGTATGCACAACCTTGGAACAACAGGGCTCTGGGATACAGGGATTGAGGCATGGTTTGAAGGGATAAAACAGGGAAATAATGTTAAGATGCTTGGCTGTCTTTTGAATCTTGGTTTCCCTTGCCTACTATTGTAAAATAGACACTTGAGGTGGGGAGAAAGGGATAGCCAAAATCATCACTAAAGAAAGCTTGTAAGTCTGTCTTCAGCCTATAACTGATTGGAATACCTTAAAGGGGGCTAGAAGTTGCCCAGTGAAAGAGGCTTCCCGTGGAGTCTTTACATTGCACAAGACCATAGGTGGAATCCAGAACCCCATCCAGAAGAAAAGAACATACTTCGTGAAAGAAAGACCGGCAGGAAAAATCCAAAACAATAACAGCGGTCTGATTGATTACTCCAAGAACAAGTAAGATGTTCGCCTAGGAGCCATCAAGGCAAGTGGTCAGGACCCCTCAGAGCAAACCGCCTTCCAAGACTGAGACTCAAGGGGAATACAGGAGCAGGCATGTGGTCTGGCTAGTGACCACATTGGTCACTGATAAGGGGAAGAGGGGGAAAAATAGCAATGAAGTTGCGAGCTAAGTCTGACCACATTCAATGGACCCCTGTGAACCTGGGTGGAGACCTGGATGGCCAGCAGTATGGCAAGACCCTGGGACTCCTGGGCCCAGAGGCAGTGACATGGCATCAGAGGACTAGAGTGGATGGAGAGTGAAGTGTCCAACTGATGTGGAGTGAGGGGAGATGCACAAGAATACCCATCCTTGCAGATAGTACCCACTTGACCTGGCTTCGAGGGCTGGATGATCAGAAGTCGACTAGAAGAAGAAAGAGATAGGGGGAAAAAAAAAAAAAGGAACCTGATACAATTTGATGAACTTTACCTATACTAATGGATGTAGCAGCTCAAAAAAGGGAACAAATCTTTACATCGAGGATCACTCCCACCCCGTTGGTACAGAGGGTTGACAGGGATGGGCAATTTAGACATTGGCTACCCAAAATAGGGAGTCCTGGTGTGGCGCTGTGGGTTAATGCACCAGACTGCAAAGCTGTTTGAACTGCAAGGTTGGTGGTTCAAGCTCACCAGCTGTTCCTCGGAAACCCTATACAGGGTCGCTATAGTTCAGAATTGACTCAAGGCACTTCACAACAACATAAAGACAAGAAGTGACTGGCTTACAAGCTTTCAAGAGGGAGCCTAGTTCTAGATGGGGCGGGGGAAGGTAGAATCACCACTGAATGAATTCCAATTCATCAGGACCAGGCTGGCGAAAGGAAATGGGGATAAGACTCTTGTGGTACAATAGTGAATAATTGCCATCAGGTCTGACTGTGAGGGTAGGAAATACAGAGGTAGATGGTTTTTGACAAAGGAGGAGAGTGATTGATTTTGCAGCCCAGGAGCAGAGGTCCCTGGGACCATCAAGTGAGAAGAACAGAGAGCGGGACCCTACCCAGAGAGGCAGTGACGCCAGGGATGGAGACAGAGACAATGATGTGGACAGATGAAGAGGCTGGGGACACACTGAACTCAGGGAGGGAGATGGGCTGTGTGGTGTACCCTTTGGTTATTTGATGACGCACGGAGGGGATTATAATCATTGCAATGAAATGAAATATGATAGGATGAGTGTAAATAAAGCTGGTGTTCTCCCATGTAAACCTCACAATAAAAACTTACAAAAATACAAACATCACAGGTGACTGGTGCAGACCACAGGTTGAGAAATGCTAATCTGGAGAACAGAGGGTTCTCTAGGATTATTGTTTTCTTAAAAGTAAGAAGTGGCCCAAGGGAATCTCCTGAGGCACCTGTGTGGGCACCAGTTTTCATTTTCCAGATCATAATAGGTGTGGACTGTGTAGGTGGTGTGGAAGGTTAAGTGGTTGAGCTAGTGACTTCTTGACACCTCCTTAAAGGTGCTTCTCTGAAGTCCGCACCAATGTATTTGGCATTTGTCTCCTGTAGAAACAGTTCAGAGGAAAAAGATAGTTTGGTGAGGAGAACCTCTGAGTGCTTTGGACTGCAGACCCTCAGTTGTTCCGTATAGGTGAGTGGTCCTCACCTCTGCACGTGGGACTCACCACTGGCTGGGCTCCACATCAGACTAGTGAAATCAGAACTGCTGCTATACGCATACTTGGATGGATAGTGAACCTAGTTCATATGATTTTGTTCTCTGAAAACCTTTTGATTCCCTCCAGAGAGTTAGTTGTTCACATCACAGATTACTATTTTCAGCTCTTCCGTTCTCTCACAACTATGACCTGCTTTGTGCTATGATGTCTGTTTATTGTTGTTTTGTTTTTCTTTTTGCCTTCCAGGGGACTCTGGTTTTTGTGCCTGTGATGGTGGTGTCCCCAACACTGGACCAACTGGAGAGCCAGGCCTGCCTGGGCCACAAGGTTTCATAGGTCTTCCAGGACTCAAAGGAACCCGAGGAGATACAGGCTCTGAAGGTGCAGAGGGCCCAGCTGGGACTCCAGTAAGTCTTTGCCAAGCATTGGTCCTGAGGAAGCAATAGGAGCTTTCAAGTATCCCTTACTTCCCACTGATCATGTTTCTAAAGCACATTAAGAAAAGAAGAAGAAAAAAAAAAAAAAAGAAGAAGATAAAACAAAGTTTCAGCTTTTTGATCTGTAATGTGAAGAGATCTAGAAGTTTCCTAAAGCCGCGTCCAACTTCCCTTTTTCTCCTCCCTTCCTCTTTCCCTTCCTTCTACCCACAGAGTAAATTGGGTTAGCAGTCCATCCACTGCCGAACCCACTGCATTGCCAGGGCCTCCAAAAGTGCATGGAAAAATGGAATGAAAAGATGATGGGGGTTTTTCCATGAACTTCATATAGTGTTTACTCTTGCCCAGCACCATGCTGGACCCTAACGATAAAATTATGATTAAGAATAGGTTCCTATCTTCAAAGACTTCAGAATTTAGAAAGGATAAAGTGACTAACTGGGCAATTATGATCCAAGACAACAACGTAATAAATTACCCATAGCAGTGTCAAAATGTACCCAAGGACCTGCCTAAGGTCAGAACTTCACATTAAGTGCCAGAATTCTATGAAATATGTATCTCCTGATTCTTCTGTCTTAATTACAGGGTTTATTTGGGTCTCCGGGTCCTGCAGGCCCAAAAGGACAGAAGGGGAACCCGACCTTCAGTACAAGATCAGGGATGCCAGGGGAGCAGGGTGATCGTGGCTCCCAGGGGCGTCCTGGTGAAACAGGAGTCCCAGGCAAGGATGGAGTACCGGGTTTACCAGGTCTACCAGGACTTCCGGTAAGTTGATCATTCCTAGAAATCCTCTCGTCTGATTTAGGGATTCTGATGGCCAGGGGCCCATAAAACAAGGCAGACTAGAGAGTGTCTCTAGAACCTTTGGTATCTTCAGATTACTCAGATTGACAAGGCTCATTTGCATTTACTAAACTCAGAAGTTGATTGATACACTAGAATGGTAGAGAAGAATTTTAAGAAAAACCAAAGCATGGGTCACACTTGTTAGGTGCCTTCCAGTCGGTTCTGACTCACAGCAACCTAACATACAACAAAATGAAAAACTGCCGGGTCCTGCCCCAACCTCACAGCTGCGTTTGAGTCCATTGCTGCCTCAGCTGTGCTGATACATCTTGTTGGAGGTCTTCCTCTTTTTCTCCGACCCTCCACTTTACCAAACATGATCCCCTTCTCCAGCGACTGGCCCCTCCTGACAATATGTCTGAAGTATGAGAGACGAAGTTTGGCCATCTTGGCATCCAAGGAGCACTCTGGCTGCGCTTCTTCCAAAACAGATCTGTTGGATCTTTTGGCAGCCCACGGCACTTCCAATATTCTCCTCCAACACCATAACTCAAAAGCATCAATTCTTCTATGGTCTTCCTTATTCATTGTCCAGCTTTCACATTGTATATGAGGTTATTGAAAATACCATGGCTTGGGTTAGGCGCACCTTAGTCCTCAAGCTGACATCTTTGCTCTTCAACAGTTTCAAAAGGTCTTGTGCAGCAGATTTGCCTAATGCAATACGTCATTTGATTTCTTGACTGCTGCTTCCATGAGTGTTGATAGTTGATCCAAGAAGAATGATGTCCTTGACAACTTCAATCTTTTCTCCGTTGATAAGAATGTGGTTTATTGGTCCAGTGGTGAGGATTTGTGTTTTCTTTACAAGATTTAAAGCCTCAGAAATCCAATACAGGGTCGCCATGAGTCGGAACTGACTCCATGGCACATAACTCCACCATCATTTGGTCTAAAGAAGTTGAGCTGCTAACCACAAGGTCAGTATTTCAAATCTCCCAGTTACATTGTTTGATTTCTTGACTGCTACTTTCATGAGTGTTGATGGTTGATCTGAGCAAAATAAAGTCTTTGACAACGTTAATCTTTCCTCCATTTGTATGGATGTTGTTTGTTGGTCCAGTGGTGAGGAATTTTGTTTTCTTTACATTGAGGTGCAACCCATACTTTGATCTTCATCAGTAAATATTTTAAGTCCTTTTCACTTTCAGTTAGCAAGGTTGTATCATCTGCATATCACGTGTTGTTAATGAGTGAGTCTTCCTCCTATCTTGATGCCTGTTTTTCTTCCTATAATCCAGCTTCTCAGATTATTTGCTTAGCATACAAATTGAATAAATATGATGAAAAAAATACAAGCCTGACGCACACCTTTCCTAATTTTAACCCATTTGGTGTTCCTTTGTTCTGTTGAAACAACTGTCTTTTGGTCTGTGTATAGGTTCTTTGCGAGCACAATTAAGTGTTCAGAAATACTCATTCTCTGCAATATTGTCCATAGCTCGTCATGACCCACACAATTGAAAGCCTTTGCATTGTCAGTAAAGCATAGGTAAACATCTTTCTGGTATTTGCTTTCAGTCAAGATCCATCAGACATCAGCAATGATATTCCTCGTTCCACATTCTCTTCTGAATCTGGCTTGAACCTCTGGAAATTCTCTGTCAATGTATGTCTGAAGCCGTTTTTGTATTCTCTTTAGCAAAATTTTACTTGCATGAGATATTAATGCTATTGTCCAATGATTTCCGCATTCCGTTGGGTCACCCCTCTTTGGAATGGGCACAAATATGGACCTCTTCTTATTAGTTGGCCAGGTAGTTGTCTTCCTAATTTCTTGGCAGAGATGAGTGAGTGTCTCCAGTGCTGCATCAGCTTGTTGAAAGATTTCAGTTTGAATTCCATCATTTCTCTGTACCTTGTTCTTTGCCAATGCCTTCAATGCATCTTGGACTTCCTCCTTCAGTATCATTGGCTCTTGATCATATGCTACCTCTAGAAATAGTTGAACACCAACCATTTCTTTTTAGTACAGTGACTCTATGTATACCTTCCATCTTCTTTTGATGCTTTCTGCATCATTCAATATTTTGCCCATGTTGTTGTTGTGAAGTGCCGTTGAGTCAGTGCCGACCCATAGCAACCCTGCATAGGGTTTCTGAGGAGCAGCTGGTAGAATACTTCAATATTATTACAAGTAGAGGCTTGCATTTTTTCTTCAGTTGGTCACACAGGGAACCTCTTTTTCCAGTGGTTAAAGACTCTCAGGACTCTCCAGATACATTTCTGAGTTGGATTTTCATTCTTCCCATGTGTGTATTTACTAGGGTGATGCCAAACAGGGTTTTCCAGGAGATAAAGGGTTCCCAGGACTTCCAGGTGAAAAAGGTCATTATGGTCCAACTGGACTCCCAGGAATTGGACTCCCAGGGTCTCCTGGACTTCCTGGACTTCCTGGAGAGCAAGGAAAAGATGGATTACCAGGACAACAAGGTCTTCCTGGGCTTCCAGGTAAGTTACAGAATCAGATACCTTTGAGTCTGGAAAACTGAATCCAGTTAGATGTTGCTGTGATCCAATTGCATGAAATATTACAAGAAGAGGTTGCATTGGCTATAATCTGTACTTTGAATTTTCTTTGGCATTTTCATGTGTAAAATAAAGAGCATTGTATTGGGGGAAGCTTTGTAGGTAAAACAATATTAGATTTCAGCTCTACTTAGTGAAGAACTTCCTTTCAAGGCTGTATGAAAATGTAGCAGGTTGTCTTGGGAGGTTAGACGCACATAATCACTGGAAGAATTCTGGCAGAAGCTGTATGACCATTTACTATGAATGCTGAGGAACTGATAAGTGGGAAATTATACAAGGTGTCCTCAAAGTTGTCTGTTAATATCATCCCATCAGAGAGAAACCTTTCCTCAATTCATAGAATATTAGAGTGGAAAGAGACCCTCGTTGTGTCTAGTCTAACCCCACATGATACCTTAAATCCCTCCTTTTATATAATTTCTTATTCTACTTGAATATCGGGATTTATAACATGTGATGCCTCACTCCCCTTATATATTGTGAAGATGCTATGCTTATAACTAGTCTTCCTTAATACAACCAGAACAGCTCTTATTCTAAACTTCTGCAAGGGGGCTCCAAAAAGTTCCTGGAAAAATTCTGTTATCTCTGAACTGCATTTTTCCGTGAACTTTTTTTTTTAAGCCTCCTCGTATGTTTATTGGCACCATACTGCTTTGCATCTAAAGTTTGAAACCTTGAGATTGATCTCTTATTTTTCTATTGCAACGCCTCATACTCTTCACTTCCTTTCTTCTTACTCTTAAGTTCTCATTATTTTATCCCTAGCTTCTCAGGTGCCTGTATGCTTGTTGGAATAAATGGATGGTTGGAGGGATGGATAAGTGAGTAAAGGACAAGTTCCTAAGTAGTTTCTCATGTTCTACCTCCAGACTTTCTCCCACTCAATTCTACTGTGCATACTAGTGCCAATTAATACCTGAACAGTCCACATTTTCATCACTCCAAAACTACCAGTGGTCTCCGCTTTATAGAGAACAATGTCCCAACTCCTCAGACTGGAATTCAAATGTCTTCAAACATAACTGCAACCAACCTTTCCAACCATACCATATGTTGTTGCTGTTGTTGTTGTTATGTGCCATCGAGTCAATTCCAACCCATAGCGACCCTGTATAGGGTTTCCAAGGAGCAGCGGGTGAGCATGAACCACCAACCCTGCAGCTCAGACGACTTTGCAGTCTGACACATTAGCCCACAGCACCACACCAGGACTCCAAACCATACCATATACACATTGTTATTAAGAAAAAAAAATCTATCACACCAGTCTTCACTGTCCCCAAACACATTTCTAAGAGTTTGCCCATGTTGCCTGGACAAGAAGACAACTGGTGTCTCCAAAGAGGTTCTGTTCCAGATGCTGGTAGTACTCGACTAGCCTGGTTATTACTGTGCTCGATCCTGTGTGGGTATCAGCCTTCTCCTCTCAACCCAGATAGAAAATTCAATTGGGGGGACATGTTGGGGCCCAAGGTCCTCAAAGAACTTCTGCCCTGGTTTAATTTTCTTCTTTACTTGCTTGGTCTAGGTGACCGCTGCTGCAGGAAGAAAGTTAACGGAGCCATAGGCACAGAGGGAGGTGAGACCTAGTTAGTTACATCTAGAGGTTCTCAGACACCAGGGTTGCAATCCCCTCCCCCTTTTGGTTCAGTTTTGAGTCCCTGGTTAGGGACGAGTGACCCTGAGCCTGCAGTGCAAAGACTAACACTGGCACTGCTTTGGAGACTTGTTGGCACACATGGGGAATGCAGGAGTAAGTGGGCATGCAGCTGCTGAGAGTGGTCCATTGCCTGCACCATGCATGTCACTGGCTAACTGTTCTGTACCTTACGCAACTTCAGTTTCCAAACATCACTGGGGCCACAAGTTGCCTTGGAAAGTGCCTGAAAAGATCCACCTAGGTCTCATCTTTTGGTGCTGGATCCACAGCAAATTGAGATGCCCGGATCGTGATCACCTAAGATCTTTTTTATTCTGAAGGTGGATTTTTGCATTCATAAGGGGAATTCTGAATAATTATTTCACTTCTAAAACAGAACATGGGTAGAGCTGACCACTGCTTTGTTGAGAAAGCTCTGAATCCAAGAAGGTAAAGTGGAAGACAGGGATGTAAAGTACAAGATTTGAATAGCAGTATGACTTGAAGGTTTTTATGGTTTGTTTGTTTTTTTGCCATTTTTGACTTTGCTTACAATGCACAAAATTGGTGTGGTGTACAGGACTGGACCACAGCATAATTATGAAGGGAAGCATGTCTTTTATTCCTTCTGTAGGCTGAGTACTGGACTGCTAACTGCAAGGTCAGCAGTTCAAACCCACCGATGGCACTTAACAACAGTTTCTACTCATCTTCCCTTTTATCATTACATGTATTTTTTTCTTGTCCTGGAACCTTTCCAAATGCCAGTCATTGGCCTCATCCTCTAAAGGCTTTGTTTTTATCTGTCTGTCACAGATGAAAAGAATCCATTCGGTTGATGTGGTAAATTGGAGATGGAAGGCTTAATGGTTGGGCCCAGCCTAGAGATATATTTATATTCATTTAACCTAGTTCTTGGTTTAAGACAATGGAACTGCTGGTGCACATTGACACATGGGAGTCAATGGACTAATGAAACATTTGAAGGCAGCAGAGTCTTCTGCAAGGTCCCTTTCATGGTACCATTTATGAAGCCAGTTCTTCAGCCTAGTGCAAAGGACTCCAACTGGAGCCCAGCACAAATTTGGGAGCCCTCTCCTAGAAAAGCATCTTACTATAGATGCTCACCCAGAGACCATGGACAATAGAGAAAATCCTCAATAGCTTCATCATCTCAATATCTGTCAGAATAGAGGTGGTGTCTGTCAGAATAGAGGTGGTGTCACCACCTCTTAAGGAAGATCCAGATAACGTCTCCATGTGACTCTAGACACCTAAGGTATAGAAGGCAGAAAGTTGCTGCTCAGCTCCAAAGTGACTGAGTTAGAGACTAGAAAATAGACTTTGTATTATTAGCTCATCTGAGTGAAGTGTCATTGATTCCATTCCGACCCATAGCGACCTGTATCAGGTTTCCGAGAACCGCCGACTCTGCGGTTCAAACTGACTTTGCAGTCCAGCTCATTAAGCCACAGCGCCACACCCACAGTGTCTGAGTCCTCCTCCCTAAGTAAGATGGTAAGAACCCTTATTCATTGAGCCCAGCACTATGTTAATTGCCATTAGCACTAGTTCATGTAATCCACAGAAACACCAGAGTCCTGATGTGGCGCTGTAGGATAAGCACTGGACTGCTAACTTGAAGGTTAGTGGTTCAAACCCACCAGCCATTCCTCAGAACCCCTATACAGGGTCACTGTGAACCAGAACGGACTCAACTGCACTTGACAACACCAACACACAAAAACCAAATAAGGTAGGTAGTTCCCATTTTACACATGAGGTTTAGAGAAGTTAAGGATCTTCTTACACAGCTTCTTTTGAGCAGAACTAGGATACAGGCTCAGTGCCCATCCTCGTAACAAACACTTTATACTGCTCAGTTGCCAACCTTGATGTAGGCATAAAATGAGGAAGCTAAAAATGTCATCAGGCCTTTATATTTACAAAGAGAAGAGAGTCTGACTAAGTAGACTGAATCATAGGTTGTATACATAGCTTTCAGAAATACAATGTGTGATTTATCTTAACAACAGGCAAAGGCTCTGGTAGCGTAATGGTTATGAATCGGGCTGCGAGCCTCAAGGTCAGCAGTTCGAAACTACCAGCGGTTCCGCAGGAGAAAGATGAGACAGTCTGCTCCCGTAAAGATTTACAGCCTCGGAAACCCTGGGTAGGGTCGCTATGAGTCAGAACCGACTCCACGGCACATAACAACAACAACAGGCAAAGGCTATAGCAGTTTATTAGACCTGTTTGGCCCTGTGGCTTAAAGCAAACCTTAGGGGATTGTTTTAATGAATGTTGTTGTTGTTATTAAGTGCCATGGAGTCAGTTCCAACCCATAGCGACCCTGTCTAGGGTTTCCAAGGAGGAGCAGGTGAGCTTGAACCAGCGACCTTGCAGTTCAAATGGCTTTGCAGTCTGGTGTATAAACCCACAGCGCCACACCAGGACTCCGTTGTAATGAATGTTGTTGTTGTCAGGTGCCATCGAGTCGGAACCGACTCATAGCGACCCCATGTACAGCAGAACGAAACCATGTCCGATCCTGGACCAACCTCACTACCGACGCCACACTTGACACCATCAATGATGCCACCTGGCTGATCCATCTCACTGGGGGGTCTTCCTCTTTTTCTCTGACCCTCCACCTTTCCCAGCATGACATCCTTCTCCAGCGACTGTTCTCTCCGGACAATGTGTCTAAAGTATGAAAGACGAAGCCTAGCCATCTTAGCCTCCAAGGAGCACTCTGGTTGTACTTCTTCCAAAACAGATCTATTGGTTCTTTTGGCAGTCCATGGCACTTTCAGTATTCTCCTCCAACACCAACACCACAACTCAAAGGCATCAATTCTTCTATGATCTTCCTTATTCACTGTCCAGCTTTCGCAATCCATATGAGGTTATTGAAAATACCATGGCTTGGGTCAGGCGCACCTTAGTTCTCAAGCTGACATCTCTGCTCTTCAATACTTTAAAAAGTTCCTGTGCAGCAGATTTGCCCAATGCAATACGTCGTCTGATCTCTTGACTGCTGTTTCCGCAAGTGTTGATAGTTGTAATGAATAGGCAAGACTTAATTTTAATTAGTATAGCAATTGTTTGTAAATAGCACTTGAGGGAGCCGCCAAACAATTTGTTTGCCAGTATTTTATTAAGCCTCCCTCTGTGATCTTACAGAGTTTTTATTTGCATTATGAATGAACAAGAAAGAATTTGCTAGAGGAAGGGCTGTGTTGTGTCTGTTTGGAAGTCTTGAATATGGAAACTGACTGCCCCTTTTCCCTCAGTAGCAGAGCTGACAGTTTCAAATGAGGACCTGAAGGAAGGGTCTTAGTTTGTCTTTCATGGATAAAAGTGTTCAACTGGTACAGAAATACAGGTTCAACTTAGCAAGGACATTAAATAGGTCTCAGTAGATCCCACGTGAGGTGTCCCCCAAACCCAGTGGTTTGGGGAAAGCCTCATTCCAAGAAAAGGACAGAACATGTGAACCTGAGGAGTTTTGACTTCAAACCCTCCACGGTTGTCATATGGGTATAATAGGCTTTTAAGACTAACCCCAAGGAGCCCTGGTAGTAAAGTAGATTATGAGTTGGGCTGCTAACCACAAGGTCAATAGTTTGAATCTACCAGTCACTCTATGGGCAAAAGATGAGACATTTTGCTCCTGTAAAGGTTTACAGGTCTGGAAACCCTCTACAGGGTTGCTGTGAGTCGGAACCAACTTGGTAGCATACAACCACCAGTACCACCAAGACTAACCCCAGCCCCCTTCCCCCACCTCCCAGGGAGAAACTCTGTCTGATGGCAGGGTGAGGAGGCAATTGCCATTTGCTGCTATTCCTGCATAGGCTACCTCTAGGAAACCTTGTTAGGAACAGCTTCAATGGTTTGGGAAGTAAGATCTTGGCACCTAGACACTAAGGACATTCGCATCTGTAAACAATTGCACTTTAGGGATAAGTTGGGAGAGTTTCTGATGCCAAGATTCTTCTGCCTGGGATGCCAGCTACTAACTGGGAAGAAGAATGTGGTCATTCCAAGAAATGGGAGGGACTGGGAGTAAAGGGGCATGTTCCGACTCCTAGCGACCCTGTATATGATTTCTGAGGAGAGGCTGGTGAGTTGGAACCACCGACCTTGCCGTCCTGTACTTATCCTACAGCACCACAGGAAATCTCCCTTGACATAGTGGGGTCAACAATGCTTACATGTTCCCATTTACAGGAATTATGTTGCCATGTATTATTACTGGGGCATACGGTCCATCAGGCCTCCCAGGAGCTCCCGGAGTTCCAGGTATGTAATGGGGCCAGAGAAAGCCATTGAGCCTAAGGAAGCAGAGTCCAACCCAGCAGCATTCGGGAATCTGTCTTTTTCCTGAGAGGGGCAGCTTTGGGAGGGACTGAGGCAATAGAGAGAACAGTGTGGAAGGTGAGGAGACTAGGAGAGGCCCTCAAAGAGACTGAACATCTTGACTGAACATCAGATGCCATGCCCAGCTGCACTAACTTTGCTTTCCCCTCACTTCTTATGTTCACATTTCAGGCTCTAAAGGGGCCCGTGGCTACCCTGGGACTCCCGGCCAGCCTGGATTGCATGGCACTAAAGGAGAGCCAGGAAGTCATGGGTTAGTCCATCTCCCTGAATTGCCAGGTAAGAAAAGGAGCTTCTCCTTTGGCATGAGTGTGTGTTTGGATTGTGGCAATTCTCCGGCTACAGGAAGCTAAATCTACTCTCAGAGTCCTATCTGGTGTGGTGCTTGTAGGATACGCACTGGACTGCTAACGACAAAGTGGGCAGTTCAAACCCACCAGTCGTTCCTTGGAAACCCTGTAGAAGGTTGCTATGAGTCAAAACTGACTTGAGGGCACTTAACAACAAAGTCTACTGTCTGGTGGGGTTGGGAAGGTTTAATGAGAACCTTAGAATGACAGCAGATCAGAACAAGAGCCGTTGGAGACTGACTGAGAAAGAGATTCAGATCGGTCAAAGGGACGTCGTACATTCCATTTCTGTTGCTTTTCTCCTGTCCCGTTGCAACCTGTGGTTTGTTGTTTAACACTACACCAATAGTTCAAACCCACCAGCCAACAACAACAAACAGTTCTCAAAGTGTGGTGCCTGGGCCAGCAGCTTCAGCAGCACCTAACCACATGCTAGAAATGCAAATTCTTGGCCCTTCTCTAAGACCTACTGATCAGAAACAGCAGAGGTGGGGCCCTGCCCTCTGTGTTTTAACTAGAGCTCCCCAGCCCCAGTTGATGCTCCAGTTGAACCACCAGAGCCCTACAACATGATCTCATCTATCTTGAGCCATGTGCTCTTGGAGTTTATTGGTGCCTCAGTTCCCTCCCTCCAGTCAGGAAGAGGGAAGAATCCCAGTGGGAGTTAAGCAAGCCCAGAAGAGGTTGGGGCTTTTGCCAGGTGGTCTTGTCAGCAAATGTTGGAGCCCCAGGAACACGGCGGGTCTTCACTGAAGCAGAATCTTCTCCAGGTCACATGGTACCATCCGTGTCTCAGGGCTAGTCCTCCTAGGTCCAGAGATTCCTAATCTTCAAGAGAAGTGACCCACCTTATTATGATGTTATTTTTGTATTTAAAATAACAGTAAGAATCTGTCTTGGAGCTCTCTTCCGCAGGCAAATGTTTGTGACCATCTATGGCCTTTTGTTTTTGTCTCTTTACATTTAGGATTTCCTGGACCTCGTGGGGAAAAGGGCTTGCCTGGGTTTCCTGGGCTCCCTGGAAAAGATGGCTTGCCTGGGAAGGTTGGCAATCCAGGTTTATCTGGTTCCAAGGGAACCCCTGGTGACATCTTTGATGCTGAAAATGGTGCTCCGGGAGAGCAAGGCCTCCAGGGATTGCCAGGGGACAGAGGATTTCCTGGAGACTCTGGCCTTCGAGGACCCAAGGGTGACTCTTACCTAACAATCTGCACAAAAGCCTTTCAGTAACTGGAATACTTATACTTGCATGAATGGGAACGATTTCTGGGATGATGGATTACTTAAGGGATTTATATAAAATTTCTGTTTGCTCTGTCTCTCTTTTTAGTCTTTTCTTTTGAAATTTCTTTAAGTGGCCTAAGTCCATGTCTATATCTTTGTAACTCTAGAAGTGACCACACGTGCTTGCAAAGCTTCTGGATCACTGCTGGGATGAGTTCTCCTGGATACTGGTTTACAAACCCAGTCCCTGCTTTCAGTCTAGACTGTGATCATCTGCCCTTTCCTTTCATCAGGTTTGCTGGGGAAGTCGGGCTTGCTGGGTGCCAAAGGTGAACGTGGTAACCCTGGATCACCAGGACACTCAGGCCCCACAGGTCCGCCAGGGCCTGGTGGCCTACCTGGCATCAAGGGGAAGCCTGGTCTCCCAGGAACTACAGGTTTTCCCGGCGTGTCAGGTAGGTCAACAGGAGGAACAGCCCCAGCTTGGCAGAGTTAAGCTGGACTCTGGATCCAGGCGCCCTGAGGGACAATTCGGACTTGGTCCGAATTGAAATGAAGTTGGACTTTCCTAATCTCCAAGTGTCAAGCCGCCTTCGCAGTGCCAGTCAGAGCCAACTACTACAGTGTCGCGCTCACAAGATTGTTGTTTGTTGGTGTTAAGTGCCACCCCATATTGGGTTTCCAAGGAGCGTCTGGGGGCTTTGAACTGCCGAATTTGTGGGTTAGTAGTCCAGCGCCGGCCCTACAGCACCACACCAGGACTCCAATATTACAACCAATCATTTGCCCCCTCCCATACTCACTCCCTTAAACCGTCCCTGGATGGCACTAACAGAAACGGTGAAGGTTTGAACCCACCCAGAGGTGCCTTGGGAGAAATCACGGGCAATCTGCAACACGTGGGGCCACCAAGAGGCTCAACTAACTTGACAGCAACTGATTTGGTTTAATTTTTTCCTCCCCCCTATCTCCTCACTTAAGGAACCCCGGTGGCACAGTGGGCTCAGCCTTGGGCTGCTTACCATAAGGCTGGAGGTTCAAACCTACCAGCTGGTCTGCAGGAGAAAGCTGAGGCTGTCGGCTCCCATCGATTTTGACAGTCTCTGAAAGTCTATGGAGCAGCTCCTCCTACTCTGTCCTATAGGGGGTTAGGAGTTGAAATGGACTCGGCAGCAGTGGGTTTGCTTTGGGGGGTTTATATCCTCGCTTCCTCTTTTCCTGCTTCATCCTCTCCCCTGCCATCCCCAATTAGAGAAGTGTAGCCCAGTCTCCATTGCCTTCTGGGTTAGAAGTAGAACTTGAGCAGAGTGTGATCACGTTGGTGACCTGTCTCTCAGATAAGCATGCCCCTGAGGATCCATGCCCAAAGTGTCTTTCAGTCAGCAATGAGCCTCCAATCTAGTATTTGAAGCTTGCCTTTTTTTGGCACCATCTTCCTCACGCTGCCTCAGTGTCTACATGACCTCCCCTCCCTCCCGGCTGACTATTGTCCTTAAGGTGCCATCGAGTCGGTTCTGACTCATAGCAACACCCTGTACCACAGAATGAGACACTGCCCAGCCCATTGTTGCAACTGCTGTGCCAATTCTTGTCATTAGGGGTCCCTCCTCTTTTGAGCTGACCCTCTACTTTACCGAGCACCATGTCCTTCTCCAGGGTCTGGTCCCTCCTAATAATATGTCCAAAGTCTGAGAGACGAAGTCTCCCCATGAGTTATTTGCAGTCATTAATATCCTTTTTCTCCCCCTTGTCCTTCTATATTTCTGGGGTCTTCACAAAGGCTGTCCAGGTGAGCAGACACAGTGTACGAGCTCCCAGACTAATACTCTTGCCAGCTTTGCCGCTCAGGACCGTACCCTGTAACCTGACTGTAAACTCTAACCTGCTGTGGCCTGCAAGGCTGGCCGGGGATCTCTGAACTCATGCAGTGGGCTTGGCTCCTATTATGCTTCCTTCCCTTGTAGCGGAATCCCTCCCTTCGCAGCCTTCCATTCCAGTCCTGGGGCTTGTAGCTACTTGATGCTTTTCACATAGGCCCTTGGGGGCCCAAATACCTCTGTCATCGTTGATTTAATCCTTTGGTTTTTAAATTTTCCTTGCTTTGTACCTGAACATTCCACGTTGGCAGCAGCTCAGGAGGTTAATCCCATTGACCAATTTAAAGCATGGTTAAAGTCTCTGAATACCTAGGAGACCAAATGGGCCTTGGGGATTTCTGCAGTATTTGCCACTAGGGGGTCTTTCAACCTTAATGCCAAGGAACTGGCTGATTTAACTGCTTGCATGAGGGATTAAAAGGGCAGCCCTGTATGCGTGGCTCCCTGGGAGGCTGAAACAACAGCTCAGCTTTAACCTTGCCTTCACCAATTGTCTCAAGAAACAGCCATTGTGAGTTGATCCAGACAGGAAGTACCAGGAAAAGGGAGCTCCCTTGCCACACTGGCTTCCCAGAGCTTCGCTCAAAGGCTACAGAATGAATCACATTCCAAGAGGGTGAAGAAGTGCCATGCTGGAGGGAATGACCATTGGTGTGGTGCTTGGGGGTGGGGGGGATGGAGGTGTTGGGGAAGGTGACTCAGAATTCTGCCTGTTAGTAGCCTGCATAGGCCAAGATTAAAGAGCTCTTTACAAAACCCAACAAGCCAATCAACCAGCATCCATGGGAATGGGCAATGGCCCAAATGGACCCAAGGCGGAGCTTGACAGCTGTCCTGTGTTCTCTCCTGTGCTGATACAGGATATCCTGGGAAGAAAGGCTCCAGAGGTGAGGCAGGTCTCCCGGGGTCAACTGGAAAGAGAGGTCTGCCTGGACTCAAAGGCCTTCCTGGATCTCAAGGGATAGTAGGGTTCCCGGGGAGCTCAGGCATGTCAGGAGACACAGGATTGCCAGGCCTCCCGGGCCCAAAGGGTAAGTGATGTGATCGCCAATGCATTAGTCACCAGCGGGGGCATCCAAGCTGCCCAGCCTGCCCTTTCCTTTCTGCCTAGGAAGGGGGATGTGGGGAGAGAGGTGGGCAGGGCTCTTGTGTCAACTTTATTAGGCAAGGGAGTCCTAGTGTGGCGCTGTAGGATGATCACCGGACTGCTAACTGCAAGACTGGCAGTTCAAACCTTCCAGCTGCTCCTCTGAAACCTGACACAGGGCTGCTATGACTGGCTCAACAGCACTTTACAACAAACAACAACCACCACCTAATCCTGACCTCATTGCATCTGGCCTCATTGGCATCACAGAAGATCTCTCTGAGTTCTGCTTGCTTGTTTAATCTCTTTTGTATCTCAAGAGACTCAGTCAAGATACAACCTAATCCTGCAGATTGCATCTGGTCTCATTAACATCCTAGAAGCGAGGATTTACAACATACAGAAAATTAGATCAGCGCTGATTACATCAGGTCTTGTCACTGGGGTGTAATTACACAATTACACTAGCTCTGGTAGCTGAGTGGTTGTGAAGCGGGCTGCGAACCACAAGGTCAGCAGTTCGAAGCTACCAACTGTTCTGTGGGAGAAAGATGAGGCTTTCTGCTCCCATAAAGATTTACAGCCTTGGAAACCCTGTACAGGGTCAGTATGGGTCGGAACCGACCACAAGTCCTGGCATGGCACTGTGGGTTAATGTGCTGGATTGCAAAGTTGGTTTGAACCAAAAGGTTGGCGATTCAAGCTCACACAGCCGCTCCTCAGAAATCCTATACAGGGTCGTTACGGGTCAGAACCGACTCGGCAGCATTTAACAACAAGAAGTCCTGGACTGCTAACCATAGGCTCAGCGGTTCAAACCCACTAAGCCACTTCTTGGAAAGACTTGATAGCACTTGATAACACAACAACAGGGCTACACAAGGACCTCCAGCCAAGACAAATCACGGCCACTGCCTGCTGGGTGGAACACTGGTCAGCAAAGCCTGGGAGAGTAGCAGCTCACTTGCACGACCCCTCTCATATAACCTTTAATTCTTCCTGTATGGCTCTGAAATTCTTTAGAAGTTGGGCAGGTACCTTCTCCATTTTATACAGGAGAAAGTGACTGAGCCAAGGTCACATAACTGGTTAGCGGCCAAGACAGGACTAGAGCTCAGTTCCCTGCTTCCTGGCCCTAGGCTTTTTTTTTTTTTTTTCCTGTGTCCCATATGAACTCCTAACAAAGTAGCAAAAGATATGACCTTAAGAGCATGAATGAGCTTTGACATTAGAGAGACCTTCTCTGCAGCATCCTAGCTGCATGACTTTTGGCAAGTTATTTAACATCTCCGTCTCCCTGTACATAAATCTGTGAGCCTCATAAAAGTTCTTGTCTCTCAATAGGCGAGAAGGGCTCCACTGGACTGATAGGTTTTCCAGGGATACCGGGTCTCCCTGGTATTCCTGGTGCTACTGGACTGAAGGGAGTCTCTGGGTCAACAGGAAGAATTGGAACATCTGGATCTACTGGTAGTCCTGGTGAAAAAGGTGAGCTAGGGAATTAAATTCTGGAACTGCCATCCACACTTGCAAAGATATGTTTTACTGATGGACTTTGCCATTGCTGTGGCTTATACCAGCCCCGTGTTAGATAATAAGATTTTCAGCTTCTGAATTATGTCCTTTGAAACCAAAAGACCTAATCACTTACCATTGCATGCTAGAGACCATTCCATATGATTCTGGAAGGAGAGTTTTGAATATGGTGTAAAGTTGGTTAGGGAGGGAAACGGCATAAATAAATAGAAATACTAAGTTGGGAGAATGAGAGTGGGGAGGAACATGAAAGGGCCCTGAAACTAAGCCAGAGGCTGGTGTGGGAAAAACGAATATCCTAGATCAGCCCAGGCCTGACCCCGTGTCTAAGCTCTCTCTCTCCCTGATGTCATGATCTCCAACCCCACAGGAGACAGAGGTGATCCGGGGCCAGTAGGAGAACCCAGCCCAAGACCTCCCATGCTGAATCTTTGGTTCAAAGGAGACAAAGGCTCCCGGGGCTCAACAGGATCAAACGGATTTTCAGGACCCAGAGGTGCTGGGGCAGGGAATGGGCCAGAGAAAAGCCCCAGAAAAGTTTGATGAGCAAACTTGAATTCCATCTTGAGAAAAGTCCTCCCTTACAAGGCCTCTCAAGAGCAGCCATAGGTGGTAGCTGGAGGTGCTAGGAGGTTACCTTCCCTGGGCCTCAGGGCTGCCATTTGTCACAGTTGCTATGGAACTGAGTGTTTACCCTGCAGGCTGTGACACCACTTGGGGGAGCCTAGCAGGTAATGGGCATGAGTGTTGGGCAGCCTTCCCACTGTTGGAGCTGGGTTTGCCTGAGTGGTGTCCCCTGAAGCTGGAGGCACCTACCCCACCCCACCTCACCTGCTCCCAAGCCTATGCCTGTGACTCTGGGCACATGCACCTTGACAAGTGGGCCTTCTCTTTCCTCTAGCTGACCTCTAAGCCCATTTGCTTCTTTCCCAGGCGACAAAGGAGAGGCTGGCCACCCTGGACCACCAGGCCGCCCTGGAGCTACTGGATTCCCCAACACTATCAAAGGACTTGTTGGAAGGCCAGGTCCCCCTGGCTCCCTGGGACTACTGGGCTTGCCTGGACTGAAGGGGGCCACTGGGATCACAGGCTTCCCGGGAATGCCTGGAGAAAGTGTAAGTGTGTCCCATTTCCTGTCTCTTCACCCAGGAAATGCCCCTGTTCATCTTTCTGAACCCACCCAATTTCCCAGTGCCTTTCCCCTAAGATGTCTTCAGACAACTCCCTCTCCTTGAGTGTTACAGCTGTTACCCCTTCCGGAGCAGCCCCTCTTCTGTATCTTTGTTCCTGCCTTCCTCCTCTGAAGTAGCCTAATACCTGCTGTCCCCCAGGCCCCAGTCTAGGCCCCATCTCCTCAGGAACCCCTGAGCTCCTGCCCTGTTGACCCCCTACCCTGCTCACTGCCTAGATTAATCCTAGCGGGATCTGTGTGGGTGTGATTTCCTTAACAAGATCCGTAGGGCTTGAGAACAAGGACTCCCATACACGCTTTCTTGTCTTCGCCCCACTGCCAGCATTCCACACGGAGTCTTGGCACATTATAAAAATTCAGTACAGACAGCTTGATGTTTTCATAAGAAGGTCTTTGAAGTCCCACGAGAAGCAACAACCGGTTTGGGGAAGACACAGGCTAGGGTTTGAATGTCACCTGCATCCCTCATTAGCTCTGTTTTCATAGGCGCATCACTTAATTTCCCTGAACCTCACGTTGCTTATCTGTCAAAACCAGGCATTCTATCCAAACCTCATTCACACAGTGGTGGTGGTTGGTTGGTTATGTGCCGTGGAGTCGGTTCCGACTCATAGCGACCCTGTACAGGGTTTCCAAGGCTGTAAATCTTTACAGGAACAGAAAGCCTCATCTTTCTCCCGCGGAACCACTGGTCGTTTAGAACTGCTGACCTTAAGGTTCGCAGCCCGATTCGCAACCACTACGCTACCAGAGCTCCTTCATTCACACAGTTGTTGTTGTTAATTGCCGTCGAGTCGGTTCCGACCCATAGCGACCCTGTACAGGGTTTCCGAGGAGCAGCTGGTGAGCTTGAACTGCCAACCTTGCAGTTCAAACGGCTTTGCAGTCTGGTGCATTAGTTCACAGTGCCACACCAGGACTCCAGTAGAGAGGATTAAATGAGACGATAAGTGGAAAACACTTTGTATTGGAGCTGGCACACAGCAAGCTCTGGATAAATAGCAGCAATAAAATGATTAGTGTTAGAAGAGTCTAAATGAACTGGGTCACAGAACACCTGTACCGGCCCTGTGGGCAAATTCCCTGTCCTTAAAAAACATCTGCCTATCTGGTGGAGATAACTCCCACACAAACACACACACCTGAAGCAACTTCCAAAGAAATAGTTCTCAACTGGGTGGTCCTAACTACCATGCACTTGTAAATGAACCAAAAAAAGATCCCTGTCCTGGTGTACACAGAAATCCAATCTCTGCACATGGGTCTCTGACAAAGACAAAGTTGTATTGCAAAGCACAGTGCAAGGAGCCAGGAGGAAGGTTTCTCAGATCTAACTCCCGGACTATCTGAGTTTTCTCAGAATTAGAAGAAAACAGACAGATAAATTACACATAGTCATAAATGGGGGTGGGGTGGGGTGGGGGGCGGTAAAACAGGATTGGTCGAACTCCTGTATGCTTCAATTTAAAGGGCCATGCAATTCTTAACTCAGTGCGCAGGCTCACAGGAAGTGTTCTGGGTTTTGTGTTCCGTGAAATCCGGAAATCTTGCTGCGGGTTTAATAAGTTGGTTCCTTTGGCTGAAAGGCTTGGTTCATGTGTTGGGGCGCAAATTAGCTTAAATTTGAATTGGACTGGTTATTGTCCCATTGTGGCTGCTGATATCTGAAAGACAGAAAAAAGAAAAGTTATTTACTGCAATGAATTAGCACAAGAATAGGTTAACATTAGCCTCACTAGAAGGAAGGAAGCAAGATGGAAAGGCTTCCTGGGAGGCTTGGTGTGGCACTGTAGGATAAGCCCTGAACCACAAGGGCAGCGGTTCTAACTCACCAGCCGCTCTTTGGAAACTCTATACAGTGTCGCTATGAGTCGGAACTGACTCGTCGGCACGTAACAACAAAACCCAACGTGAGCAAAAGCTCCGAATTAGAAGCAGATAATGTCCTGGCGTGGTTCTGTAGGATAACCACTGGACCGCAAGGTTGGCGGTTCAAACCCACATATACAGGGTTGCCAACTTGAGGGTATTTAACACCAACAACAATGACAGGAAAACACCAAGAGAGGAAAGAGGGGGGAAGAGAGCGAATGTTCTGGATAGTGGTAGTAGAATAGTGGTCCAGTAAGTATAGTGACAGAGCCCAGAACTCGGATTCCTGCCCATGGCACTGACAGCCTTTGTCTTTACTGGGTGCATCTGAAAATTAGTCCCAACCAACCCTAGGGAAAGAACTGTGCTCAAGGCAGGGTGAACCTGCTTCCCAGATTCAGAGTGTGTTGGATGTTAGTCAGTGGAGGCAGCTTTTTCTGTGAAAGTGGTAACCACTCAAATTCAGACTCTAGCACCTGCACATGCAGCATCTGCTACGTGGTATAAGAGAAATCACGTGCTCCCTGTGGAAGCAAGAGTGGAGGGCTAGCCCTGCACAATTCTGGTATGCATAATGAATGGCTCGCCAAAGCTATGCAATGGAAGATGGTAGGAGACTTATCTGCAGAGCAGTGAAGGGGGCCTGACTTGGTTGTCAATTTCTGCCATTTGCTCATTGTCCTCATCATCTCCTCCCCCCTCCCCGAGTCTATACTCCTCTACTCCACCCCTGCCACAGACTCAGGCAGTGGTCCTGGGGGTGGGAGGGTGCAAAGCCCTGAGCTCTGGGCAGAAATGATGATTCCCATATTGCCTTGAAGGGTATGCAGGGTCTTAATGGGGCACCCGGGCTCCCAGGAGTAAGTGGCCTTCCAGGTACTAAAGGTAAGGAACATTTTCTATTTTAACTTTTTTGTTGTTGTTGTTTAAAACAAGGTGGATTTCTAGCAGGCTCTGTTGGGGGAGATTCTATGTTTAGGGAAAAGTGAATTCATTTACATTTCCCTCTTGGCCAAAGCCCCTTTGAAGCCCTTGGTCCTCAAAGACCTTGCAACAAACAGTGGTACCTACCAAGTTCTGTGTGGCTGTCTTGCAACTAAGAAAACAACTGTCCTTTTTCTATGGGATTTGACCCATCTGCCTTCCAGTGTTAGCAGCAGAGGGGAACTTTGGCTATAGAAGATCCCCCGCCCTTACTGTCATCACAGTTGCATTCTGATATCGTGTTAGGCTCCCTCCTGTCATCTTCTCTGCCCATACTGAGCCTAGTGATTACTGTGTTTCCCAGTGGAGATCTGCTAAAGTAGCAGCCTGGCAGTGTCCCAGCTCCTTGCTGGTGATGGGTCAAGTCACAAGAGATTTTGCATTCAAAAATTTTCTTGGGTGCAAAATAAGTTATACCTTTTCCTGACAGTTTGAACAATGTTTCTATATTCCCTAGGAGATATAGGCCAGACACTTGAAATTCCTGGAAGCCCAGGACCCAAGGGACAACGTGGAGATTCTGGTATTGAAGGTAAAGCTGCTATACTTTCATAGTATATGCCTCACAGATTCCTCCAAACTTGAGGGATGGCAGGAATTTTGGGATCAGCTCCAAGTTGTGCAACTTCCATCCAGTGCAGAAAGATTCCTTCTTGAAACATATTCATTCACAGGCAGCCCACACTTTCCCCAAGCAAACCAACCTGCTTTCCTTTAGAGCAGAGGCCTCTGGGATAATGGTATCCACCCCTTAGTTTCAGAGATAATGATATTAACTGTGTTTGAGCATGCCTACCCCCTGTTCCTGGTTCTGCGGGCACACAGAATAAGTTACCTTTCAATTGGGTAGATAGCTACCATAGTTCTTTTCACTAGACTGATTATTCCTAGATCTGGCACCCTCAGTTCAAGGTGCTTTCACCTCCTGCTCACCCTCTCCCCTAGAAGAACACATTCCCTGAAATGTGACCTGATCCTACCGCATTTGTCTTGGTGTAGGTGTCAAAGGAAAACATGGCCCAGTAGGTGATATTGGTTTCCCAGGCAATAAAGGTGAAGATGGAAAAGATGGAATATCTGGAGATGTTGGTCTTCCTGGCTCCCCAGGTACCATCCCACATGACAACTTTATTCTGAAAGGGTTAGGATTAAATTCAAGCCAAGCTCCTTTCTGATCTTAGACCTTGGTTTCACTTTTAGGATTCCCTGGGATTGCAGGACCGAGAGGACAACCAGGACTCCCAGGTTCTCCTGGTCATCCAGGAGCAGTTGGACCCTTGGGACCCTCTGGCATTGTAGGAACTAAAGGTATGTGTCATTGGGTGTAGGCAGTGGGGAGAGAAAGTATCCTTCTCTCACAAATTTGGGAGACACTAATGAGAAGAGGAGTCCTGACGTGGCGCTGTAGGATAAGCACTGGACTACAAGGTCGATTTGAGCCACAGTCAGCAGTTCAAACCCACTAGCCGCTCCTCGGAAACCCTATACATGGTTGATATGAGTCGGAACTGACTCGATGACACTTAACAACAACAACAAAGATGAAGATAAGCCATACCCAGGGAGTTATTGCCTGCATTGTATGAGGGCTGTTGGGAGCAGAAGAAAAGGAAAGGAGGATGAAGACGAAGGAAGAAAGACAGTCATTGAGTGAGAAGCCAAGGAGAGAGAAGTTAGCAGGAAAGTCTTTCCTTGGCCATTTACAGCCTTTCCCCGACTTAGAGATCAGGGAGTGAGTCTCTGGAACCAATCTCTGGAATTGGCAGCTCATGGTCTTGACATTACCACTCTTGAGTTTCCCTTGAAGGTCCCTTACTTTTGAAGCTGTATCCATCTCTGATAAATGTTGTGAGAAATCTAGAGTGCTGGGCAGAGGTCCTAGGGGTGGTCTGTTCTCCTTTAGGGTACTAGGTGACACCTCAGAAAGGACCAGGACCTTTAAAATGAGAAGGTTGCAGTGCCCTGCAGGACTGGTTGCTACCTCTTGTTGCTCCTCTCTGACTCAGCTGCTGAAGCCATTTCTGACATTCTCTTCCCCCAGGCTACCCTGGACTTCCCGGTTTAAGTGGTTTAAATGGGCTTCCAGGCACTAAGGGTGCCCCTGGAACTTCAGGTAAGGACAACCCTCGAGTGTGAAGAGATGGACAATGGTTCTTCCAGAAGCCTGGCTGGCCATGACTTCTTCACGGAAGTTTATCCCAGATGCTTGGACCCAACTGGGGTTCCTTGATGTGATGAAGAAGGAGGATGAGGTCCATCCTACCCAAATGAGTTCTTCGTGTTACTTCAGTATTCATCTACTGGTGTCTGTGTGGCAGACCTCTCAGACCTGAAGCAAGTGAATTAGGCATGAGGGCCTCACCCCACTGAGTCCTGCCCCTCCTTCTGTGTCTCCTCCTAGGATCCAGTATCACCGGAGTGCCTGGACCCGCCGGCCTGCCTGGCCCCAAAGGAGAAACAGGCTCTACAGGAATTGGCATTGGAACCCCAGGGAAATCGGGGGTGAGAGGACAAAAAGGTGGTCGAGGTAAGGGAGCCATGTCAGTAGAAGCTGAAGAAACCAGATGGGACCACCCAGGTCATGTGGCTCACAGGGTTGAGCTGTGCATGTCTTCACAGCTCTAGGAAATCTCAGGACCAAGGAAGATTGACCACCTGTTGAGAAAGAGAGGGTAGACTGTGGGGGTGGGGTGTCAGTGAGCAGTTCAGTAAATCCCCTGTAGGCTCCAAAATCACTCCTGTTCTTCCTTATTAGGAGTCCTGATGCTCTGTAGGATGAGATCTGGAATGCTTACCACATGGCCAGCAGTTCAAACCCATCAGCTACTCCTCAGAAACACTATTCAAAATTGCTGTGCATCAGAACCGACTCCGTGACATTTAACAACAACAGTTTCCTTATTAACCTCAGGGCCTCTCCTATACTCTTGGCCAGAGCCTGGACTTAATTGTCATGAGGAACAGAACTTGTGCAGTTAGTGAGAAGTTTGCCAGAATCTCCTCAATGTCTAGTCTAGTTGGCACTGGCCTGGGCCCTGGGAAAACAATGTGGCTGCTGGAAGGAACCCATGGCTAAAAGGATACATGATAAATGTCCAGGATACACTCAATCAGTATTTGCTGAGCTCGGCTTCTGACTCACTACAATGCCTAAAGCTCTTTTCTGGGCCAAAGTTTGCCACTTCTCGAAGAACAGGAATGACTTCTGATTATTTTTCTTTCTTTGGGAATATTCTAAAGATATATATATATATATATATATATATATATACATATATATACCACTCAGTGTGACCTAGACAGTGAATTCAGTGCAGCGTCATGAAGTCGGACCAGCTGGGTTCAAATTCTAGTTTTGCTTCTGACTTAACTATTTCATCTTGAACAGGGAAGTTACAAGGAAGTTACTTATCCATCTATCCCAGATGAACTCTTAGTTTTCCATTTCTGTAAAATGGACATAATAAGAGAATCCATGTCATAGGATTTATGAAGAATCCATGAGAAGAAGTGAGATAGTTTCTAGAAAACCACAGATTGCTTGGCCCAGCATGCATTAAGTGCTCCAGACGTTATTGGATACGCTGTTGTTTCTTGTTATCTAGGGAAATCGTATTTGCAAATGTTCTCAACCTCATAGCTCTGGGCACTGAGAGTCCACCATACTTGATGGTTTATGCGCATGTTTATATAAATGTGCGTGCGTTTTCCAAGAAGTCTATTCAAACCATTCATTTCCTGCTGCTACATTTGGAATTGGTGCATCTGCTGTTTCTGTGTTGCCTCTTTCCTTTGGTCTGGATCAGCTTGTTCTGTTTGGAAAGCCAGCAGCTTCTCCAGAGGGGCATTTCCTTTCCCATTTTCACATCTTGACCCTAATGTCTGGACATTGAATTATTTATTCATTTGCTTTGTCTGTCTGAGGTAGTAGCATCACAATTACAAAGACAGCACTACCTGTCAAAATTGATAAATTTCAGGCACATGCTGTTGGACAGCCCCAGCAATAAAAGCCAGTTGTAGAGAAATACATTGGGTACCATTGTGGTCATCAACGTTCAAACATAAGCAAGTGTTGTTTAGGGATTCTAATATGCATGGTCAAACTATGGTGAAAAGGAAGGGAATGAGGAACACAGAAAATTTAGGTGTAGTTGCCTCTGAGTGGGTCCCCGGGTGATTCAGTTTGCACTCCACTATTAACCAAAAGGTTGGTGGTTCAAATCCACCCAGAAGTCCTGGTCTTCTTATTGTTAAGTGCCATCGAGCCAAGTTGGTTCCAACTCACAGCAACCCTGTATAGGGTTTCCAAGGAGCGGCTGGTAAGTTTGAACCACTGACCTTGAGATTCAAACCAACCTTGTGGTCCAGTGCTTTATCCCACAGAGCCACACTGGGACTCCACAGAAGAATGATGGTGGTGGTGATGGTGTGCCGTGGAGTCGGTTCCAACTCACAGCGACTCTATATAGCAGGGGTGGAAACCATTTTTTCTGAAGGGCTACTTGGATATTTATAACATTGTTTGCGGGCCATACAAATTTATCAACTTAAAAATTAACCTGCTATATTTGGATGGTTGGAAGGAATTGTGGTTGCCTTAGCAGTGCCAGACCAAATGATTTCACGGTTCTTGTATAGCCTGTAGGCTGAACGTTCCCTGCCCCTGTTGTATAATGTTTCTGAGGAGCAGCTGGTGGGTTTGAACTACTGACCTTGTGGTTTACCAGTCCAGTGCTTATCCTACAGTGCCACACCAGGATTCCTAAGATTATAGCTATTGAAAGCCCCGTGGAGCTCAATTCTACTCTGACATCCCATGGAATCGCTGGGAATCAGAATAGACGATGGTTTTGGTTAATTAATTAGTTAACTTCTGAGAGGGACATTATGGGGGGGGGGGAGGGGGCAGGAGGCGTGCCTCAGAGGAGCATGCAGGGAAATTCAAAGGTAATGCTATTTTCTTTTTCCGAAATTGATGGTTGGAGCATAGGTTTTCATTTTACGTGACTGTTCCTTACATATGATTGATCAATATTCTTTGTGCCCTTTCAATAGTTAATTAAGACAATCTGTTCATAAATACAGTAAATATCATAGCCTCCCCCACAGACCCCTATGTCTGATTTGATCATGGGTGCCAGTGTCAACAGTGGATTCACCCGTAAGAAAGCTCCATTGAGCAATCTCTGCCCTTTCAAAACCTTGCTCTCAAGAACTTCAAATTGAGTCTTTCATTTTCAGATTTGTACACATTATTGCGAGGGTGCATGTGTGTTTTTAGTTTTTTATTTTTTATGCTTTGACATGGGAATGAGTTGGAAAAATGCATCTTGCTTTTGCATTGGCTCATATAAAATGCTTTGTGTGTGTGTGTGTGTGTGCGTGCGTGCGTGTGCGGTACACATACATGTAACAAAACATTTGCCATTTCCGCATTCTTCACATGTACAATCAGTGACCTTTACTTATGATCATCAGGTTGTACCACAATCACTATCTGTTGTTAAGTGCCGTCGAGTCTGTTCCAACTCACAGCAACCCTATATAAGGTTTCCAAGGAGCAGCTAACCTTGCAGTTCAAACCAACATTAATGGTCGAGTGCTTATCCAACAGCGCCACACCTATCTGTTTCCAAATTTTATGTCACTTCAACAACAATTAAAAGAAGCCCAGTGTAAATGCTTTATTCTTGAAGGAAGACATGAGTTTTATGCACTAGTTGATGGTGGTCGTGGTTAACTGCTGTTGAGTCAGTTCTCACTCATAGCGACCCTTTATAGAGTTCCGGAGGAGTAGCTGGTGGGTTTGAACTGTCCACCTTGTAATTTGCAGTCCAGTGCTGATGGTAGTGGTGGTTATATGCTGTGGAGTCGGTTCTGACGCCTAGTGACCCTGTAGACGGTTTCTGTGGCTGTAAATCTCTACAGAGCAGAAAGCCTCATCTTTCTCTTGCAAAACGGCTGGTAGATTCCAACTGCTGACCTTGCAGTTAGCAGCGCAACTTGTAACACATTAGGTTACCAGGACTCCTTGATGTTCCTGGTGCCTTTATTTCAGGTTTGATCATAGGAGGGGACTTCAAAAAGTTTATGAAAAATGCAAGTAAAACATAGAAATGAAGCATTTCAACTTCATTTCTCAACAGAAGCTCCATCAAGGTCAGGAGTCTTTTGTAAGTGAGGATGCCAGCCATTTAGTCCATCCTAAGGAACTGAGGGTGCTGGGAATTTAACCATATCAGTACAGTCGTTTTTATACATTATTAACTGAAGAAAAGTGGGTGTCCTTTAAAGATTTTTTTTTGAGGTTAGGAAACAAGAAGTCAGAAGCCAAATCAGGACTCTAACATGGATGCCTAATAATTTACCATCAAATTGCCATCGTTTGATGAAAGGAATGAGCAGGAACACTGATATGGTGGAGAAGATATTCCTGGTGCAGATTTCCCAGACATTTTTCTGCTAAAGCTTTGGCTAAATTTCTCACAATAAATAGATGTTACTGTTCTTCGATCTTCCACAAAGTCAGCAATCAAAATGCCTTAAGCATCCCCAACAAACTGTTTCCATGGCCTTTGGTCTTGACTGCACTGCTTTTGCTTTGACGGGACCATTTCCACCTCTTGGTAGTCATTGTTTTGATTGTGTCTCTTCAGGATCGTACTGGTAAAGCCATGTTTCATCTCCTGTTACAATTTGGATCCCACTTGTTTAGAATTGCCATTAAAAGTTCTGCTCTTGTCTACAGCTGATCTGGGCGCAGTAGTTTGGGCACCCATGGAGCAGAAAGTTTGCTCGACTTTTTCAGTCAGAATTGTGTAAGGGAACCAATTGAAATCTCTATCGTGTCGGCTATTGTTTCTGCTGTAAATTGTAGGTCTCTTCAATTAGGGCAGCGCCTTAGTTAGCTGGTGCTACTGTAACAGAACCTTTAACACAGAGAAATGTTTTCTCTCAGTTTGAGGCTAGAAGACCAAATTCAGAGTGCCGGCTCTAAGGGAAGGCTTTCTGTCACTTCTTGAGAAAGGTCCTGTCTTCTTTCAGCATCTGTAGGCCCCACATTCTTTAGAGTTCTCCATGCGTCTTGGCATCGATCTTTCCCGTGCATCTAGCCACTCCTCAGAAACCCTATACCGGGTTGCTATGAGTTGGAACCGACTCGATGGCAAGTAACAACAACAGTGGAACTTCGCAGGGCAGGGGCCCAGGTCTAAAGGATGCACTCCGCTCCCAGCTCTCGTCTTGCTTGGTTGTAGTATCTCTGCTCACTTCTATCTCTGATAAGATAAAAGGTGTTGCTGGCCACACCCCTGGAAATCCCCTGATAGCTGGTCAGGTTTGTGGATTAAGGATATTGCAGCCCACCCTTAATTATTCCGTTAATTCATCACATCATATTATAACATATGTAACTGCTAAACCACAGAGACTCATGGTCCTGTCAGGTTCACATGTATTATTTTATTTTATTTTATTTTTGCGGGGGCGGGGGGAGGGCACAATTCAATCCATGACAGGCAGGAACAAGATTGTTCCCTGACAAATTGATCGGTGGTCTGCCACCTCGGGGCTTCATCTTCAACAGTGTCTTGTCCCCTTTTTTTGTGTGTTTCCCTTTTAAAAGTGAATTACCTTTCTGTAAACTGCTGATCTCCTTGGGACTTTGTGCTCCTAAACTTTTCAGTGACCTCACTATTCTTCCACCCAAACTTTACCATCAATTTGGTATTTGCTGTTGCTTCCATATTAGCAGAATTCATGTTGGCACTTTTTAAACCTATGTCCTACCCTTCTTTGTGCCTCAAACTAGATCCTGTTCAGACGTGTTGTTGTTGTGAAGTGTCATTGAGTCGGTTCCGACTCATAGCAACCCTGTGTAGAGTTTCCGAAGAATGACTGGTGAGCTTGAACCTCTGACCTTGTGGTTCAAACTGGCCTTGCAGTCCAGCGCATTAACTCACAGCACCACACCAGACACGTTAGCACAAGTTTATTTCGGTGCATAAAACTTTTGAAATCCATGCATAGTTTTTTCATACTATACCTTTTCTGTGAACTTGGGGAAGACCCCTCGTATATCCATGCAGTTATAAAATCAAGAAATGAATAAGGGGAGGCGGATGCTCCAAAGACTGCCATGGGAATGTGTATTAGTATACTGCTTACACGTACTCTTCTGTACATGGGATCTTGTCGATGAGTTCTGCATAATTTTAGTTTCTGTATGCATTTCATAAAAGCCATCCTGATGGCACAGTGGTTAAGTGCTTGGCTGTTACTCAATAGGCCTTTAGTTTGACTCTCCTAGCTGTTCATTCCACAGGAGAAAGCTATGACAGTCTGTTTCTGTAAAGATTTACAGCCTTGGAAACCCTATGTAGGCAGTTCTACTCTGTCTTACAGAGATGCTATGAGTGGGAATTGACTCAATAGCGGTGGTTTAGGGTTTTTGTTTTTTTTTTTTAAATATACACATACTTTTGCATAAAGCTATTATTTTCAGGAGAAAAAAACATACACTATGTCTTTTCAGATTTTAACCTTTATGAAAAAGAACATTCCTTCAAAGGTTCACCAAGATGATGCTGTGATTAGTATCATGGGACTTTACAACTACTTTTTTTTTTTTTTGCTGTATTTTCCTCTTGACCTAAATAGATAAACAGGAGTCTTTTCTTCTACATTATTGTGGGGTTTGTCTTTTTTTTAACAGCTACTCAATAGTCAATTAAACAATGAGCTATTTTAAAACACCAGAATTAACCAATCTACTATCTCTCTTTACAAGTTTCCCTGGACTTTTTAGATGAACATAAGATGAGACATGCAACCTATTTTTGGATTTTCTTGCCACCAAAAAATTAAAGTCAACAATAATGTTTTTGGACTTTCTTAACACAAACACAAAATCAGAATCTCTGCCATCAAAAGTTTATCGATGAATCTGAAGCAATGTCATCATTTGAATACCTTCTAGAATGCATAAGCTTAATAGATATGTATGTGTCTCCCATGCTGCCTGGAGGATATCAACTTCCACA